CACACAAGCTGTTCTCCAGCTCAGTGCATGGGCTGAACCTGTTCAGCAGAATGGAGTGCTGCCAGCACAATGGGGACGTGAGGACATCTCTACAAGGAAAAAAGGAAAAGCTACTTAATAACCTGACAAATAAGTCAAGTTATCTTTTCCAAGAAACCCTTTACTTACAGTCTCACCATTGGATGACCCTGGTGTAATCAGAAATTAAAACATTTTTGTTAGATATGATTAAGAAGAGTACACAGGAAAATAATTTTAATAGGGAATCAAGACACCATTTTTTCTAATTATTGCATTTGAAACACTTAATTTCTTCAGAGACAAGATGTTCCCCATTCTTCTTAACTCTAACAAATGACTGCAAAAGATATACATGATGAAGCATAACGGTCTTTCCATCTACTTACTACTTACTTCCCTGGGGGCAAAGAACAACTGCAATATTAGCTGCAGATATCACAGCAAAAAGAATCACATCACCTTTGCGAAGGCCATTCCAGCCAACACTATAATATGCAGTTTTTACAGTTTTTCTTTTTTACATTTTATGTTCTGCAAACACTGGGCCAGAAAAACTTAAAGCAATAGATATTCCTGGAAGACAGTCAGAAAGCAGTGCTTATGTGGTAGAAACATGCTTGTTTGCTCTCCAGTTCACTTTTTCAGGCCTATTTCGCATGGATTTCCCCCCTTTTCCATTTGAATTCCTCTTAGCAATTTTTCATTTGGTCTCAAAAAATACTCCTCAGGAGTATCCACTGCCTAAAGCAGAAAAAACACTGATCCAAATTAAGAGAGTTTTTAAGTTGATTCAATTAAACTGAAGCTATACACCTATGCTTTTTAATAGATATATTAAAAAAACCAAACAACAATGAAGGCATTTAATTTAAATTACTTTTTAATTCAAAGAGGATAAACCAAAGAGGGCACTCAGAGGAATTACATGGTTTCTAAGACTCTGAGCATGATTTTTCATTTCAAGGAATGTTCTTTAGCAGTGGTGTGATCAAGGCCCAAATTAAGCGACAGCCTTCACCACATGTCATTAATATCAATTCCTCTCTCCTCCCTTCCCCACCTCCCCAAAACAACAGACCTGACACTGCTCCATGCATTTCCCAGTTCTGCCGTGTACTGCTTGTCAAAGTGATCCAGAATAACTCGACAAATTTGCTTTTGAAGTTTCCCTTTTGTTTTACTTTCCAGCTTTGGAGAAAGGAAGGAAAAAAAAAAGTAGTAAAAACAAACAAATAAAACCCTCCTTAATTCTTCAACATGGTTAAGGACATTCAAATATCAAGATCACAGGAGATGTGATCAAGATGTAACAGAAATTTCAGAGAGTGAACAAGTTAAGCTGGAGTACACTCTTCTTCCCTGCCTGTGAAGAAGTCAATCAAAGCTTGTTGCTATCCCTCCATATCCACTAATAATACTAATAATGCTAATAATACAGTAGTTTCTGGGACTCTGATCTACCAGGAGCAAAATAAGCAAGGTATGATTATGATCAGTATGATCAGCTCTGCCAAGGTGTAAACCAAAAGAATGGAATTAATTTGAACCGTTGCGGGAGACAAGCTGAGCTAACCCGCAAAGCACCGCAATAACTACTCCAGGAGTAACCAAAAGCACTACACATTTTGGGTTTTAACCTCCTAAATTTTGTATGGAAGGGGGGGGGGAAGAACTTTCGGTTTCTAAGTAAACTCGTGCTATCTATAAGGAAAACCCCAAAGGTAAACACCTAAATTTTGCTGGATATTTTTTTTCCCCTTAACGGCACCCAGCAGCTTCCTGACGATCCCCATGGAACAGGAACAGCTGACGGAAGGTAGAACCTGAAGGACTAAGTTCGGAGCTACTCCTCTTGTCTCCCGGTTCCTTCACCCGGCACCGAGCGCATCAGCGGGGCCGGGGGTTCCCTCCCTCCCTCCATGACGCTGAGCCGTGAAAAATCATCCCGGGCTCGGCACAGACGGCAAGGCTGGGCACCAGCAGCTTTTCGTACAAGGTAAGAAAACCCGGGATGCACCCGCTGGTTCGGAGGAGGGATCGCAAACAGGGCTGTTCCCACTGTCCCGCCGCGCAGGAAGAGGCCGAGCGCCGCTCCCGCCGCACTTCCGCCTGCTGGGCCCCGGCGCGCCCGGGGTCACTACTCCCCTGCCCTGGCCCTGTCGGCCCATTGCTCACCTGTCCCGTCCCTCTGCTCCCCTGCCCCGGTGTCCTCCCGGCCGCCCCCCGCGGCAGCAGCGCCAGCAGCGCCCGCAGCGCCCGCAGCCGCATGGCCGCACCCGGCGCGGCACAGCGGGGCAGGGCCCCCCCGCCCCCTACGGTCTTCCCATGGAATCATGGGTTGGAAGGAGTTGAAAAACCGTCTAGTCTCAACTCGCATGGTTTGAGACACTTCGCACTAGAGCGGGTTGGTCAAGGCACCATCCAAGCTTGGCTTTGGACACCGTCAGAGTTGGGGCATGCACCACCTCCCTGGGAACCTGCGCCAGTGTCCCACCACAGTCACAGTAAAGAATTTCTACGTAATGTGTGTAACCTAAATTTCCCCTCTTAATTTCTACCCATTACATCTTGTCCTGTCACTACAGTTCCTGACCTTTATGTTTCTTTAGTTTGGACTTTTGTTGTTGTTGTTGGTTTGTTTTTTTGTTTGGCTGTTTGGTTTTTGTTTGTTTGGTTTTTTGTGGATTTTTTTTTGTGTGTGGGGTTTTTTGTTTGTTTTGGTTTTTTTTTTTTTTTTTTTTGCTTTTGTTCTGCTTTGGGATTTTTTGTTCTGTTTGGGTTTTTTTGTTGTTTTTCGGGTTTTGTTGTGTGTTTTTTAGTTTTTTTGGGGGAGTGTGTTAATTCATTTGGGTTTTTTTGGCCTTTTTTTTGCTTGGTTGGTTAGTTGGTTTTGTGTTGTGTTTTTTGTGTGGTTTTTTTTGTTTGTTTGTGGTTTTTTTGTTTCATTTGATTTTGGTTTCTTTGTGATTTTCTCTTCTTACTTTGGGAGTCTGTACTGCCATCCTGCCTCCTCTGCCTCTCCAGGAAATAAACCAGGATCAGGCAGCTACTGGATTCTCAGTCAACTTACAAAACTGATCCTCATCTTAGCACCTGCATCCCAGGGGCTGCTGCCATCCCACCCCACCCACCAGTCAGGACTCTGCTAGTGCCTTTTCACCAGACCTAGACTTCTGGCTGGTCCAGGTTTTGCAGCTGCTGTCCAGCTGCCCAAGAGCCTCCTCTGAACCACACCGGGGATCAGCTCCAGCTCAACCTGCTGCTACTGCCATAAAAAATTGATGGAGACTTGAGAATTATTCCCACAAGTATCTTACATGTGTTTTCAGATAAGCCATTCTCTGGAAAGTGAACCAGGGCTGAAACTAGCCTCAGAAATCCAGACTGGAAAGGGGTGCAAAGGTCATCTATATGATAGTAGGAGAGCTATTGTATAGATAAATATTTGAGTTTCAGGCAACTATTCATGAAGGCTAAGAACATTTATGCCAATTACCATCACACTTGAAAGCTTATTTAAAATGTTTCAATCAGGATTGTGACAAAGGGCCTGCAGGCAAAATGGATACTTCCTATGTATCAATCGTGAAAGGAAACCTGAAAGACTTTCAGATAAATGAGTTGTACCAACAGATACAGAACAAAACTGGTATGAAAAGTACAGTTCTCCATGGCTGTAATTCTGCCAAGGCCAGTATCACAGAAGAAACTATATACAGTAATTGAATTTTACAGTTCCAATGAAACAAAAAATTATGCTGAGTACCCTCCCCCTAAATCTAGGGCTTAAAGTACTTCAAGTTGAAAGAATTCCAAAAGGTAGGAAGCTAACAGACTATGGCAAAGTTAGTGGGTGGCATCCTGAACTTACAGTGTCAAGCTTTCCACTAAAATACTGGAATATATTACTGGAAAAAATACTGCTTGAATCTTAAAGGAAAAAAAAAAGCCTGTGCTGATTACTTTGTTAATGTCCATCAATCTTTTGTAATGTGACATCATTAGATCCAAAAATAACCGTTTTCAGGAAATATACTGTTTTCTACTGGAGAAGAAAATTCATGAGACCACTCCAAGCAATCTTATTTCAAAAGCCACCTAAAGTAGCAAAACCGGGAAATCCATTTTTAAGTGACAGATGGGCCTTCAGAGGATCACAGTTACCATCAGAGATGTGAAACTAAATCTAATGGATATCAAATATACCTAATTTTAATAATACAATTATAGTTATTAATGTGCATTTAAAACCTTTAAATCTATGAGTAAGGTCCTGTGGATTCTCGGTTTTAACTAAAAAGGAAGACAAGCAGAACAACTGATTTTGATGCACTGATTCTCCTTCGCATTAATTCAGCTCATGAGAATTATTAATCCTTATTTTAGAAGATACATTTAACTTATCTTTAAAATATGTACTTAAAATGTCGCACAGACAATGCAAAATGTTCTGCTTATACAGTGCATTTCTGTGTACTTACCACTCCTGTATTTAGGTACAAATACTCTCAGCTGAATTCACTGATACATTTTGGAAGTGATATTATTGACAACAAAAAGCATCAATCTTCTAATTTGTGCAATAATTACCTCTCAATTTACTTCTCAAATATTAAAAGCACTTTATATGTACACATATACACATAACTTAGTGCCAATCTATCAATATATTCTAAATTTGACCACACTGCTATTGCAAAAATATGCAGAAATTCTGTCTATAAGGTCTCTATTTTGTACATTTTAGCAACGTGAGACTTGCAGCCCTTAAATATTTATGACCATACTTGCTTCCAAAAAAATTGTAAATTTATGATAATACAGGAAACATGTTGATGCTGTGCATTAGTTTTATTCCATATATAAATGTCAGCTTGAGCAAAAAAACCCGTCATTGTTGTATAAATTACTGAAAAAAACCCTACCATAGTAAATTACAGAGCATAATAATAGACAAAACTGTAAAAACCATTTCTGAGTACTTTGGTCACATATTGGTAAAATTTATTTTAAAAGCAAAATCAAAAATGATACATGTGTCCACACACAACATACATAACACACAGTTCATATGTATCAACACCTGACATTTTAGTTTCTCAGGCGTTGTTACAACAGCACATTCAGCTTTGTTTTCAGTAAAGACTTCGATTCATTTATTTTTGATGGGAGGTAAAATAAAAGGGTAATACACTCCTAGAAACTGAAGCTGTAAAAAAAATAAGTATAGCCTTTAAGCTGAAAACTTAAGTGGTAACAGAGCTAAAGTTAAAATTGAGATTGCACACATAAACATTTATGCAACCTCCCCTCCACTTAATATTGTGTTTGTTTCAAGTGAAAATGACCAAATTCTGAGAATAATCAAATTATGTTACACTATTAGAATACAAAAAAGTACTCTCATGTAGTCATGTACAAAGTGCTTCATCCTTTCACTAAACTTGGACTTTACCTCTCCACCCATTCCAAACTTATCTCAAGATGGATTCCACCCCCCCACAAACACATTCTGTAAAAATCTTAATAAAATTTAATTTTGATTATTATGGTGGATGTCTATTTGTGCAACTCATTGCTGTAAGGGGCATATGGCAAAGATTTCCAGTATCAAAGTGCTGAACATAAACATTGCATTGCTTTAACATCTCCGGAAGTAATTTGGTATTACCATGTTATTGAAGATGGAGAGTAATATAAAATAATCAATAATCAAATACTCCTTCTTCAAAAAAATCCCTTTGAATGGGGGTTTCATCCTTACTGTAACTAAGTGGCATAACAATATACTTTACACAAGACACCAATTGTTGTCTCTAGTGTAAGAGGAAAAACATTTAAACAGGAATATATCAATTTGTAACCCTTGTTGTTAATTAATCACTTGTATGTGATTTTTTTTTTAATGTAGATAAACACATGGAAGTATTGTTTAAATCCTTAAAACCCTGGGGTTTCTTTAGTTTTCAAGATGGTATTTTAGTGTTATCGAGATTAAACCCTGTTGGAGTTTATCTGCATATTGGTTGATTCAGTTTTCCATCAAAATTCATGACTCAATTAGTGCAAAACTTACACTATGTGCAATTTTCCTGTATGTTGTAGTAGTCAATACAATATCCAACTAAATTTTTTTCCACAGAATTTATTACCTATGTCAGATTCAGTTAACAAAACAAAGAAAACAACAGATAAGAAAACTTTCAGACAGTTCAAATAGCAATATTTTGTATAAAATGTAGTTATTTTAAACGTTCTGTCTTACTCCTTGCTTCAGGTTGCCAGAAATATGAAATACTACACCTAGTAATATAATCCCTAATAAAGGCGTTTTGCTACTGTAAGAGTCAAACACACTGTATTTATATTAACTTGACCATCAGCTTTCTAATGCTTCCAAGGTATCACTTTATTGGTAGCAGGTACCCATGTCCACTCAAACTTCCAAATCATTTTATAAAAAGGTAGAAAAATATACTCAATATTTGTTTAGCCTTTCTATAGTCACCCTATCATACAATGAATCTTACAAAATAATTTATGAGCTGAAAAAATACCAACGACTGCACAGCACCTGGAGGAAGGTCTCGATGGGACGGTACAATCCTGTGATCTTGAAGTTGTTTTTCTTCAGGTTTATGGATATGTATTTTCACAAGTAAATATTCAATACCATGTTCACATCCATGGACACACAGACCTTTCTTATTTCACACTAAACCCTGAAGAAGTGCTGGTGATGTGGAATGACAAGATCAACTAAGTTCGAGAGAACAAACTCCAGATTTAATTGTCACCAAGTCATTTTGCAACATGCTGATAAAGTGTCACTTTAAAAATTTTCCTTCAAGGGCAAAAAAAATGTTTCTGATGGAATTTTTTCATTTTGTGGTTTTAAATTCTGTTTGGGATCCAGTTAAGCAATGACATCATGGGTGTCACTGTTGGGTCTTTGGCATAGAGTCAGCGGGGGCAGAGGCTTTCCATAGAAATCTGTGTAAGAAATTCCAGAGAAGAAAAACACATCAATCTGTCACCCAAAGGATTTTTACATATGGCAAATTCTTGCTTCCTTTAATGAAAGCTAGGTAGTCTACAAGTTAAGAGCTAATTCCTACAAGCAACTTTCAAATCTAGTGCTAATTAATGTCTAGAGATGTATTGGCCAAAAGAGGGTTTAATTACATTTTATTAAACATGCAGAAGCATTTGCAAGATCAAGCCCAAAGGTGATCTGTAAACATCCCTAAAAATAGGAAATGAGAAATCCAAAGTATGCAAACAACAACTGAAAAAATCAAGTATCAAAATTTGAATGTTGCTGTAAAGTCTTCATTGCAATATAGTTTTAAGTGACAGTAACACTATGCAGCATCCAAAATTTTGGAACCATTTATGCATGGCATTTATCTTGCAAGTCATACTAACTTTCTAAAAGAATTATATTAAGAATTTTTTAAAAAAACTGCAACATTTTCTTTTGTCAATAAAGGAGTTCCAAGTAGTAAAACTGCTCTAGACAAAGTCAATAGGTATATTAGAAGAGAGTGACAAGTATTCTCAAACATTTGTAATTGATATAAAATTAAAAAACAACCATGCAGATGGGTACATGCAAAGCATTTCACAAGCAAAATAATATGAGAGATGGCAAGAGGAAACAGGTAGAAATCAAGAAAAAACAAAAGCAGCTTTTTGAAGCATTCAAATCTCAATTTTATTTATACAGACCACCTCTTCCCCAGCAAAGCCTTGATGGCCTGCCAACATAAAATTCAGCTTTAATAAATCAGAATTTCCCAAGAAGAATATATTCCACTTGTTCTACATATGCAATAACTTAAAATTGCACTCCTGAGCTAGAATTAACAAAAGCAAACAAGGTGGATTACACTACTCTAAGACTATGTGTACATGTCTGCAGGATCAAGGTTTTAGTTATCCTTACATTTAATCAGCAAAATGATAACACTTTTATGTTATTGTAGTAAATCTTTTGATTTTAATAGTGCTAATTCAGTGTTACAGCAGCAAGAAAACTGCAACGAATGAGTACAAGGCAAATAAAAACCTGTACAATGGATGGTTTTATTAGTCAATTTATTAATTTCTTGAGGTCTGGCAGACCACTTTAGGAATGACAGATAATTGTACCTCCTATATTGGAAGAGGTTTATTATTCTTGCAAATGTATCCTCCACCGACAATAAACAGACACTCATTACCTAATGTTGTGCCAGAATCATTATTATGATTGGAAAAACTGCAGTTTCTAGTGAAATAAGTGTATAACTAAAGACTTATATAATTGACTCTACTACCTGCTAACAGCCAATATAACATTCTCTTCTAAGAATGACACAAAAATGACTCAATATATACATTAAATAGTCTGTTTAAGTGTTTAAATCAACATTTAAATTTTCCAGTTTGCATAATTAAGGCAGAGTTATATGTTTGAGAAAGCCTAGCATTAAAAGCCAGACCTTTGGAGGTTGTTTCAGCCTCACACTACCTGAATTTTACATATTTCAGCAGCAAGAATTACCAAATATCTGACACTTAAAATAAAAAAATAATTCAAGACAAACACAGAGGACTTACTACTCTCCTTATTGAAAAGTATCTCTACTAGAATCTCTACTTTCACTGCAAATTGTTCCTTCAAGCTATTTATATAAATTAATCATGAAACCAAAAGGGAAATAAAAATGCCTTTTTATTTCACAAAGGTTGAATGTCTGAGAAAACTTTTAAACCCAGCCTGGGAGTGGATTTTGGGGAAAGCTGGGGGAAAAAAAATCAACACTGAGTTATTTCTCTGCTGAAGGGATAGCCAAAAAGATGATTTTCAGAAAGATGCGATTCAGGGAATATTCCAAATAAAGAATCACTGGCCTTAGAAAAATTCCAATAAGTATCCCATCAAGAGCAGGTTCTCAGTCTGCAAAATATGTAAAAACTCACTGAAAAACACTGTTGCAAGGACAGATGGCAAGTTAAATCAGTGCAAGATAGACTTGGCAATATTGGGTTAACAGTTGAACTCAATGATTTTAAGGGTCCTTTCCAACATAAATGATTCCATGATTCTATGGATCTCAAATGGTCAGAATGAAAAAGAAAACAGCTGCTTTAACCAAGATAAGTAATTGATGCTCTTGGGTATCAGGACCTAACTGAAGGTTTGACTGTGCATTTGAAGAGCTTTTTTCATTTATAAATAGTGCTTTCCTAATGGATGTTTTCTTGCTTTCCTAGGATTTTCTGTTCTGTGTGAAACTTGTGAGTCTCAAAATTCCTGAAAAAAAGAATAAATCTCAGCAAAGAGCAGCCAAAGTCTTGAATTCAGCTGCAAAGTTCTGAGCACTTCAAGTTTGCTCTGATCTCAGTGGTGACACCTCTGGTTAAGAGATCCCTACCAACATATTTTCCAGTGTTAGCTTCCAAATTAATTGGTTTTCTCTTTGTTCCCACCCATGCTCTTGCTACAAAATGCAACAGATAAAAATTGAAATTCCCTTTCTTCCCCTCCCTACCTCTTCATCTGGCTTTTCTCTCTTGCAGCCTTCTCTTTATGTGCCTTTAAAAAAAGAGCAAGATGGTTTTATGATTAAGATAATAAATTACATTTTATGCACATGAATCTCATTCCTGTGAGAAATAAATATCTCAGGTTTAGAAATCTTATTTTCCCTTTAGGCAGCTTTTGATTCTTTGGCAGAAAAGCTCCATGTTCTGTTGTTTCAGAATTTCTCATGACAATAGTTCAATTAATTCAAGTCAGGGTTAAGCTCAAGAGTAACTACAGCCACAGCTCCTTTCTCCTTAAGTTTCTCAATTAATGTTCTCTTTATTCAATTTGTGTAAGTGTTCTCATTGCTTTAGTTTGGTTGTTCTCCTCTCGTGTTACTCCAGATGTCTCCATGTTCACTAGGGTATTCAAAATTTGAAAAATAAAAATGTAAGAAAAACAAAGAAAGTACCCTCTAAAACTCAGAAAAAAAATGCAGTGTGAGCATATGAAAAACAATCTTCCAGGATCTTCCAAAAATAGAAAACAGCCATTACTGAAGCAAGAAATCAAGCATCTGCCTACCTCACCTTTATATTTCCAGTTATTAAACTTATTTCTGCTCGCAGGTTATGAACTCTAAGGGACTCTGATTCTTCAGGTAAAGCAGCAGATCCCAAGCTTTTTCACTGACATTTCTACTTCCAGACCAATAATTTAGTTTTCATTTGGACTCTTAAAATAACTGGTCCTGAACTGGTCCTCTTACCGTTTGTAATATGGCACTTTTTAATGTTTAGGTACTGCTGCTATGCAAATAACTTCAGATCATTAATAGCTCCTGATATCCCAAGCCATTTTAAACTTTATAAGGGAATCTAAGATAAATTTCCTTTCCATAAAAAAAAAAAAAAAAGAAAACTTGAAAAATCAAAAAGATGCTTTCTACTAAGCAAAAGGTTTAGGTTTTGGTCAATGAAAATCAGAATTAAGACATTAAAAAAAAAAAAGATGAAGAATGAAATGAATGTAGAAGTGAATGAACAATGGAGAACGCGTTCAAAAAGTACAAAACCCAAAATACTTTCAATTACCAGCATGATGTGTTTCACCAAGAGGCTCGAGTTTTCGAAGTCTATTAAGTTTGGGAGTTCCCCAGCCAACTAAAGGAAAACAAAGACTGTCAAAACATGCCATGACTGCTCTTGATTCTGAGGAACTGAACAGAAACCAGCTCATTTTGGGGGAAATCAAAGCATTTACAAACACCCAAGGTATGCAATATATTGCACCCATGGTGAATAACTATGAAATACTTTTAAAAGAAGCTGATTTCCCCTTAAATAGTGATAATTTTAATCACTTTTTCAGGAGTAGTCAAGTTTCTGACTCACTTTTTGGGAAAATAATGTCTTCCTCCATGGAACAGGCCAAATCACTACTGCTGGAAGTTCTTATAATGAAGTGGGAAGCTGCATCAAAGATTTTCTAGAGAGGAAGGTTTAGAAGCATTTCTCTGTACGAAGATCATTCCAGTTTCATTATTCCCAAGTGAATCTTTTAAAGGATTAACAACCACAAATTGAGACATCAATTACTGGTGGTTAGTACACTCACCTGGTGGAAGTGCTGGTGGTGGTGTTGGATTTTTGGGAAGAGAATCCTCTGGATTAATAGGTTCTACTCTGTGGCCCCTTTTTAATTTTGGTTTTTTACTTTTTTTCTTACTGTTATCTATAGTCAACAGAAATAAAACATTACATATCATACACTTATATTCAGAGAATATCTTAGATCATCTTCTAAAACAATTATTGAGGAGACACATGAGTGTTTTCAGTCCAAATTTACGCACAAATTATGGGAAATGTAAAAGTTACACAGCATTTTGCTATAGAAAACAAATTTTAAGCATAAAATATATGCAAACTCTGTGTTTCCATAATGAAATTCAACTTAGCTGGGTCCTGTTGGAAAGTGGACTGCATATTTGATGATGATAAAAAACAAACCCAATTTCAGCTACAGTATCACACCAACAAACATGCACTTTTTGGAAGAAGATTTTCCAATACAACAACCTAATTGTGCATTTGCATGTTTTCAATAGATTAAATTGATGTGTGGTATCATGAAAAATAATAATAAAGAATAAACAAAAATATATTATATAATAAATATAATTAAAAATAATAAAAAATATGGAAAAACAATGTGAAAAATCACATGAAATGACACATTCAAAGGAAGTTCTACCTGAGTCAAGGCAATCTGAGGCTTGGTGATCATTCTCTTCCGAGTGCTGCAAAAGCTGTGTAGTTGCAGAATTGCACATTTCTAGTCTGCTGTCAGTTGTGTTTTGGCTGCTGCTACTTGATAAGTGCTGGGCATCCATCTGGTCCTGCTCTGCTTGTGATTTCAAGACAATTGTAGCCTTTTCAGTCTCCAACCTTTGCTGCTTCTTCTCCTTTTCTATTTGCTTTTCATTCTAACAAAAACGGGTAAGAATTTTTTTAAACTGACTAATAAGAAAGGAAGGTTATTAAAAAATGAAAAAAAATTTACTGTCCCACATACAGCATGGAATTTATTGTCAAATAGGTGAAGAAATTAAATTTCAAATATGCTGTACAGAGGGAGGGAGGGGGAATTAACAAAAAAATGAAATTATGTTTTTGACTGTTTTCTTGCTTTACTTTTGGTCATATTAAAAAAATAAACCAAAATAGGAATACAAACAATATCAACAGTCCTGAGGTTAGAAAACTTCTCATTTCTTCCTCTTCGATTACGTTTTACTTTATGTTTATTTAAAACAAAATATAGTTTCACAGAGCTTAAGTATCCTGAAAATACCACCACAATTTGGACAAATATCTATTGTGTCATACAGACTCAATCCCAGGCTGTTTCACAAGTTCTATATCACTAAATCACCATCTCTGCAATATGCACACTCTATCTTCCTCCTCTGTATGTTATTATTAAGTGTATTATTGTGTATGCAGCTGACTTTACATGCTGTGTGGATGTGGGTGCTTTTGTCCTGGAGAAAAGCAAATGTTTGAGTTACTTACTGGAAAAGTTTACATGTTTCTTTAGATTATGTTATCTCCAGTCAACTGAATAAAAAAATATGGCACAATAAATAAGAACTACCAGAACTGAGAAACACAGGTTAAAGAAACTTAAATATATGAATGTGATTTTCATATTTCAAAACTAAAAAACTTCTCAATAGTGTCAATTTTCAACTGAAAACAGGTTATGCTCAGAAATCTAAACAGTTGTAGAAGTCAGTCAGATTTTATGACTCACTACATCATACAAGAAGCAAACAGACCTTGAATATTTCCACTTCTGAATCCCCACTGGTTTAATTAGGAAATATGTTCAGTCGTGTGTTTAGATCTATTTTACTATGCCTACACCACTTTTGTCCCCACATCAATAATAGGGGGTTTCTTATCATGAAAACATTGATTCAATGCACACAAAACAAGACTGCCAAGATTAAATACAAATTCAAAAAATGGTGTGCAGACAGACTTAGACCAATTCTTGGAAATTAACCATTTTTCTCATGACCTCTCAGACATTTGTTAGTGGCAGTTCTAAAATAATCCAGATTTCTACACAATCTCATACCTCAGAGATTACAGCAGATATAGGCTGGAAGGGGTTCTGATATTTCCCAGGCTCAGGGTCTTCCTCATCAGGTACAGCTCCTTCTTCTTTTTCCCTTTGGCATTGTTGGTGGATTTATGTTGTTGTTTGTTTCAGTGGTTTTGGCATTTGTGGATTTTGGTTGGTTTTGGTTTTTTTTTGGGGGGGGGGGGGGCAGAAGGAAGAGGGGGAGAATGAACAAAGAATTCTGGAGAAGCCAAGCCATAAATGTTATAGAGAAAAATTATTAGATCACCCAACTCATGTCCCAGTTTATGCCAGCATGGACTTTAAAGGTCCCTTCCAAATGAAACTACTCTATGGTTCTGTGAAGGGAATCACACTTCCTTCGCCCAGACTCAGAAAAGTTCAGAAAGACACATAATGCTCAGTTTACCAGCCCTAGTTACGTTTTATATTCCAGATATTTATATAAGAAATATTACATTGCTATGTATTAAATAATACATCATTGATAAAGTACATTCTCATCAAATACTTCTCATGAATCATCTGATGGTAATTGCACATAGAAGTCACTGTTACATCTATTTTGCAGCTGTAAGTGCTGAGAGAGGAAGGAACAAACTCCTTGTTCAGAGGCACAGATGGGAATGAAAAGGAAGACAGTAATCTGCCTATGAAAACATAATGTTTGGAAGGAACAGACAGTGCTGTTGAAAACTTCACAGCACTACCACTGTCTCTGGTTTTCCATTGGAAACAAGGTCGTTGCTACTAACATATTGTGGAGGAAATGCACTTTCTGAACAAAAAAGAAGCCTGGGGAATTAGTGAAACACAAAATGAAACAGAATTACAACTGAATCAAGATTAACCTATTTCTTACAACAAGAAATCGACTTGATGCAAAACAGCAAATCGAGAGTTCATGTCATCTCTTATACCTGAGACAAGCAAAACCAACAGAAGTTACTACTCAGGTTTCCTTTAAGGCACAAGAACTTTAGAAAAACTTTTAAGCCTTTAATCCAATTCAGACCCAATCAATTTTTCCAGTGAACAAATACAACTAAGGTCACTGAGTGGGGAGAGGAAATGCCCATATCATGAGCCAGTTTCTTTGAGACATGTTTCAAAGCTACTCCTCCTCCCCACACTTCCCAGCATGGCATTAACCCAGTGCAATTCATCATGGTCAGAAGGTTTTGTCTATACAGAGATATCTGGCAGACTAACAGTAAATGGGTTTGTAAGTTTGTGAAATGTGCATGAAGACCATGTCAAGTTCCAGGGGTTTAAAACATGCTTCAGTTACTTGCTGAAGTAAACCAAAACAGCAAGAGTATAAGCCAAGGCACTTCACAGAAGCTTCTCACAGTAACTGAGACTCACAAAACTAGGCCTTTATAAGGAGGACGAGGTGCTCAGCAAATATTTTAATAATTCCTCAGTAAAATGATTCACATCAGGCTTTAATAGGAACCACAGTAGGCTGCTGAAGACCAGAAACGGCTTTGAAGGGAAGTAATAAACCACTTGTCCTACTTCCCCTCACTGCACCATCTTTGGTTTCTTCATGCCTCACCTATTAGATATCCTGGAGTTTATTAAGCATAGTCTTGAATACAGTTTCACATCTAGTCTTTGATACTCACATATTGGTTACAGAGTCTAACTTAACAGAAGTTTAATTTAGAACACACTTGAAGGCAATTTAAGATTAAATGCCAGGATTTATTTCTTGGGTTAGCCTTCTGTGAAGTTATATTAGTAAGGCCAAATTTACTCCACAACCACCATGCAGTTCTCATTCACAGTACATTTCAAGAAGGGAGCAAATAAGATAAAGGGCATGAACCAGACAAAAACTTGTAGGTCCTGCAGAAAAACTCTAGAATTCAGGTCTGTACTTTTAATATGGAGACTCTTGGATTGTAAGTTTTAAATCCTTGACAGCTTGGTTGCATTTACAGAAATGAATCAATTATCTTAGAGAAAAGAAGAAGAGGAGGAAGCAGAAATTACAGAGACAATACCTTTCTTCTCGTATCCTTCTCACTCGCTCAGCTCGTTCCAGTTTCTTCTGTTCTTCATATGCCTTTTGCTCTGTGGTGTCTCTTTGGATTCGCTCATTTAAGGCATCAAAATCTTTGGCTATGATATGTAGAAGCCAAAATAAACCCTTTTTTATTGATTTGTCAATTTTTTTCCCATAGCCCATGATAGCTGAGCAAGGTTCCTGTAAATATAAGGGGAAGGAGGGGAAAAGTACTTGCAGTTCAGATCACATTCCTTGACTGAAAACAAGAAATTAGCTAAACAATTACTGTTTACTGCAAAACATGGAGAAGTATGGAAAGTAAATTTGTATTTAGGCATTCCACAAATTCAGAAATATTTACAAATCCTTTTTTTGCCAAGAGAAAAATCACATATGAACAGTGATCCTTCCTGAATGTCAACACAGGCAAATTCCATTTCTGCTTCTTTTTAAAAAAGCTGGAATACTAAATTTGCTGTTCAATTAAACAAGTTTTAAACCACATCAGTAACTTAATTATTCTTACATGGTTTCAGAACAGAGCAGCAATTACATTTTGAGGATCTCTATTGTAAACATTTGTTAGAACATCAAGGTGAGCAGTAGAATTTCTTGCAGAACAGATACATGGACTGTATCTTTTCTGTGAATGCAGGATTTTAGTTTCTACCTTACTGGAAGCTTTACATATCATTCATTCATGGCTGGGCTTCGCGAACGAAGATTAAGGAAGGCTCTATCCACATTTGTTACAGGCACGCTGGTGGCTTATGAGGCCAATATGAGATAGACACGTCCGATTGCAAAAGGCACAGCAGAAAGACTCCTTAGATGGTGTATTCTGCAATACACGGTTCTTTCTGCATTGCCTTTTCTCCTCGAGAGTGATCCTGCGGGTGTTCTCAAAGGAGACAGCTGCATTATAGATGGTGTGTCTCCAGGCCTCCCGATTGGAGGATTGAAGCTTTACATATATATAATTAGAAATTAGAAAATGAAGCGTGTTACAATATACATACAATTTGACAGAGACATTTGTGTTCATTGACAAGCCTCTCCAGAGACAAGGACTCGATTACATCTGCTTCTGACAGAGCTCCTTCTCTGTCCTGCTTATTTGCCAGCCTGGAGAAAAGATCAAAAGAAACACTTAGCACCCTGACACAAGAGAGATTCACGAATTTCCAAAAGCTAAGTTTTTGAGAAAAGTAGGAAGAAGGGAAAGAGTGAGAAAGGAAAGATAAAATGTCTTATTTCATCTTTAATTCATTATCCTTTCTACTTAAACTTTCTACTTAGTCCATGCACCCTTTTCATCAGATATTAAAACTAAACAATCACTAAGGTGCTTAGTAATTCCTTAATAATTATTCATAGAGAAAGCAATTATATTTACAGCTAAGATGTAAAAGACCATCCTGTTTTACATCTAAAGTTACACAGTGTAATCTTTTGGAGTCACTGGATGAAAGTTCCAGAACTTTGCAACTTTCCAAACCATAAGCAATTCCTGCGCTTCATGATCACCTCAGGTCTGCCTTATTATCAAATATTTCTCTCTAACGCCAAACAACTTCATATGTGATGTTTTGAATTTGCTCTTCCTAAGTAAAACTTAAAGCCCAGAGGGAGGAAACATACCTTATTAAATAGCAGGAAGCAAAAAAACCCCACATAGCTTAAAAATACAAAAGTGTTCTGTAAGATGAAGTGCTATCATTCTCTTATTTCTTAGATATATGGCACCAAAGAGGACTCCAGAAGATAGACATCCATTTAGGATTACAAGAATACAACACAATCTTATTTTGCACATTCTGCAACAGTAATAATCCAAGCTAAGTGCAAAAGCTGCAAGAAGGAGTATTCCATAGCATTAGGGAATCTGAAAATTGCACTTGCTTCTCTGTAATAAAAGACTTCCACTAAAATAATGTTGTTCGGAAATTTAGCAACATTTCAATTACATGAGAACTCCGATTCAACCTTCTGGATAAGAAGACAAATATTTGGCTTTCATGAACTCAATAGCAGAAGGTTTTGGAACCAGAAATCAAGTCATCCGCATTAACTCAAATGGCTTTTAGGGAATGTTAGGCCAAAGCTTGTACTTTGGATTTATCATACTCCTTGCTGAGAAGGAACAATGGTAAGAATTCACTCCACAGTTAGGAGAACTTGTCAGCACATCAGTTTGGTCTAAGACCTTATTCTTTCCTATTTTCCAGAATCACAGTATGAGAGTTTCAATTCTTAATTATTTTACTGCCAAGAGTTTTTACTTTCAAAGAAACATTAGGGAAAAAGCTGTATTGCATCTACAGCTCAAAAAAACATTCCCTGTCATCATTAACCTCATGATTCATTATCTAATCTTTCATCTTTTCTAGAAGAGTTTGTTTATGAAGGAGACCATAGAAAAGTAGCTTCTCAAATGTCCAGTCTCTCTCAACCTTCATCATTCTTAACTATTTGTGGTCCATACGGTTCACTTATTTATAATCATGCTGGGAATACAATCCCTACATCCCACTGATAATCAGAACTTTACTGACTTGCCTGCAGAGCTAAAAAGAGCATAAGGTTCTTCTCCCTGCCCCTCCTTTGATAACTTGTTCCCACTTCTCAAAGAGAGAACTTCTTCAGCACTTTGGATGATTCACTGCAGAGATTCCCGGTCAATACATATACAGAGCCTATTATATTTTCAATGTTTGTGTCACTGCTTCTTCTCAGCAACCAGCCAGAACATGAAATGTCCTCTCAGTGTTTAGCTATGAAACGGGATAAACCAGTGAAAAAATTAAATTCAAGAAAGCTATGGAAAGTAATTACAAGATTGGAAAAAATTATCTCCATTTTTTCCCCCCACCACTTAACATCTTTGTTACAGTCCGAAAATCCTACTGTGCTGCCCTTCAGTCTCCAAAAGCATTGCTCAGCAGCGCTGTCAATTCATCCAGATCTAACTGAAGAAAATATTTCTGAGTAGCGCTTGTTGCCACAGCCTATTCCTTTCTCACCTGAAGATTAAATAACTGTACTCTGTGCTGTGTTATTAGACTGCACACTCTACAAAGCACAGCTGAGGCAGAATGAAATGCTGGTGAGCTGCACAGCTCAGTGTCAGTGTGACACTAAAGTCCTACAGCTTGCAGTAGCTGCTGATTTTTACCCTCTAATAGCTTGAAAGGTGTCATATTTGTCTTTCTGGTCAATTAGTTTCCATCTTCTCTGCAGCAACACTGACTGAGCATTCAAAAAATATGGCTAAGGTGCTACCTCTGGAAAAGCAGCATATCCAAATAACTGCCTCCACCTAATGCTCCCCAGGAAGCGAAGTGGTTTTGCTCAGGTCATACATTTACTGAGCACCTCAGACTTTAGGTCAAACACATAAAGGGAGTTAAAATATTTTTAAGATACTATAGTAAAAGGCATTATTTTGCTGGGTTTTGTTTTCCATCTACTATTAGATCCAGCTAACCTTGCTTCTTTTTCCCTTCTGGTGTAGAAGAAAGCAAGCCCTGCACTTACACTTGTGCTCCACTTCCAGCTCTTAAGGCCTCTCTATCCAAGGAGCTGCTCCCAGGCACTTCCTGTTGCTGGGCAGTTCCAGCAATGGATCCACCCCTCAGCAAGGCTGGGTTTCAAACAGGCAGAACCAGATTCCCCAAGTAGAAAGTAATCAATTTGCCTGTCTACTGCAGTGGCAGAAGTTTCTCTCTCACACTACACCCTCCTGAACACTTGGACAACTATATAAGAACTAGAAGCAGAAGGAATGAAGAAAATCCTTAATGGAAAAGTCACTCAGGACATGTTACTTTGGGAAATATTCAGAAAAATGTTTCTCAGATTGTACTGAAGCAGGAGTTCTGCTGGAAAGGATAAAAAAGAAAGCCATCAGCACCGGATTCAGAGGTATATACTTTTTTTTTACCTAATATATATAAAGTTGCAAATATCTGGAAAAAAAGCTCTGTATTGGGGATTTAGAATGGAAATGTGCTCAAGTGTCAAGACATACAAACAATGTATGTCGACCCAGCAAAGAATTAGGTATTTCTGTGGGTGAATATAGTCTCAGAGCTCTACTGCTCATGCACAGGAACACCAGGTTTCGGGGCAAGTTTTATGCAAAAAAATACCTTCTTCAGGGAATACATCAGAATTACCTTAAAGGATAGACCTTGGTTTTAAATTTCCAAGTCCGTTACTTCCTATATAGCAATTTTTCATGTTTAAAACCCCATAAGAGGTATATATCAAAACATACTTGAAAGCACAGGAGCGTGTCTGTTGGTTTATCATGTTAAGTTTGCTGAGTAAGAAGCTTTCATATATAAAATCATGCTTGGCTTGCTTTCAATTTCACATAAAGTATATTTGGAATTGTGTTGGTGTACCAAACTTACCTCATGTAAGAAATAAAGAAAAAGTAGGCACCTACTGCTTTTATATCAAGTAGGATTTGTCTAAGCAACTTAAGAGAGCTTTTGAACTTTAAAAGTCACGGGAAACAATGTGGAAAGGGAGTGTATGTGTGCACTGGCACAAGTGACATCTGCAGTTCAGTGACAATATTTCTTTAGAAGCCAGAAGACATGCCAGAGAAAAACAAAGTCTGAATGCAATCTATTCTTGAGCGGTTTATAAAATTACTGAGTAAAGAGGAAAAAAACAAACAAAACAAAAACCAAACCAGTATTAAAGTTTACTTTACAATAGAAAAGATCTGGTGAAAAAAAAAACCCATGTATGAAATAGACACATTTGTATCTTGGCTTTCATCAGAAATCCAAGAAGTGTTACAGAAAGGGTATGTGTGGGAAGAGGGTTTTATGTGAGAGGGTATGCGTGTGCACGTGTTTGTTTTCCTGTTCTGCAGAGTTGGAGTTTTTTTTAAGTACTGTTACTTTCCAACTGATGCATTTCCCTCCACTTGTGTGGGATTCTTATATAGTAACATAATACTGAACAGTGAATACTACAGTGGGTACACACTGGGGGGTGATCTGTAAAAATATCTCAGATGTGCTGCTTTTGGGGTTAAGTTTAATCAGAATCAGTGATCACAGACCCATGGTGGCCATCAAAATGAAGAGCAAAGCATCCTCAAGGTCAAAATATTACAGTATCAGAGCTGTCAACAGGTTAAAAGCAAGTTTAGGAAAATGCATCTTTACAAGAATGATTACTCTGAGATCATTAGTCTTTAAGGCTCCTTGAAGAAGCTGTAGCTTTGTGGGATGGAGTCAGAATTCCAGGGGAAAGAAGGAAGACAGAACCTTTGAATTTAAACAGCAGCCTACAGACAGGAAAGAACAGTGCTCTATTCTTCGGTGTACAGTCAACCTTCTATTTAAAAATGCTGTTCTACCTTTTCTCCCCTCAGAAATTTTATCTCTCATCTATTAACTTTTTTCTTGGACAGCAATCAGAAGGATGTTTTATCCTAGAGAAGGGAGGCCTCAGCAGACACAGCATGAAAAAGTTTATTAGTCTTTTTATGCTTTGCTTATGTTAAACATCCACAAAAGTCAAACTCCTGATCCACAAACATGTCAGTTTGCCAGCTTGTTTTGCTTGTTCTTTCTTCTTCAGTTACTGGCAGTTCATGAGCTTTTTCAGGAAGTCATGGAACACAAAATTCTTTATATTTTTAGCAAACAAACAGATAGGAGAATAGACCAACAGTTTCAGGTCTTCTTGGTTGCTGACAATAATGACAAACCCATCAGTAACCTTTTACTGATTGACACATAGCTCTTCCTCAAATAAACTTACCTCATTCCTCTAGTTTGCTTTTCATGCCTTCAACCCTTATGCAAAACAATCCTTTGGATATTAGGCTAAGCTATAATGAAGAAATGATGAATAAAGTGCTACAAGATTATCTGCCTGCAAACAGCAATTAAGAGTTTGCTTTCATGCAGTTGCAGGGAGTTATGAGACATTTCTCTATTTCAAGCTTAGCCCGAGGCAGTTCCTCCAGGTCACATTTAAATAAGAGAACAATTAGGAATAAGATTCTAAACTCATCCTGTTATAATATCTCTGGGCAACTTCATTCTCATATTACCTTTTGAAATGGTCACAAGGTTGTCAATAATTATAATTTGTTTTATTTTGTTAAATTTTATGTTTTCTTACCATAGGTCTGAACCATATTCATATTTACTGAAAACATATTTCTCTGCTCTGCTCTTAGTTCAATCACACCTGTTGGTCAAATAGGCTGCATCCAAAGAGACGTCTGAGCTCACATAAAACATGTTATTTTCAGCTTCCAGATGTGTAATTCCAAAAGAAATAACAATAAGTTATGTTGCCATATATTTCTGGACAAGATTTAAAAAAAAATTGTAAACATGAATTGTTTTTTTATACTTTATTTCACCTTGATATATCAATACCTAGGCAAACAAAGTATAGTCAAATTGCCCATAAGATATGTTTTTATAAAAAACCTGCCTGAAAATCCTTACATTTATTCCAGGTGAGTTCCAAGGCTGTGATACAAAGCTCTGTGGTCTGACAGAAGTGAAATGGGAATGGAAAGTAGGTGGGATATTGTACAGGACAAATTCTGAATCTACAATTCCACTGTCAGGAAGACAAAAATCTCAAACCATTTAGAGCAATAAAAACCCATTAACTAGGATATACATATAACAATATATCCTATTAAACTGAAAGAATTTCACCTGTCTCCTATCCTGTTGCAGCCCTTTCTCCTGCTCCTATTTTATTTTCAAATACTGCTTTAAATTATATGAATATTTAGACCTTAATTATGTGATCTTTTAGCAGAAGAGATTATGATTTTCTTTCTGGATTTCTGTGACCTGTAGGTGGCCATCATATTTGCACCAGCTAACTAAGGGAAGGTGCTGATTTCTAGTCTTATTCTTGCTGGAAATAAACAAATAAATCGAGATACCTACAACATATACATTTATTTCTCTCTGTTGCTCATTTCTGAGGACTCAAAGAGCATTATTGAAATTTTTGGTTAAATAGGTGAAAAAAATGACCATCAAACCATTAAATAAGTTCTCCAGTTTTGCTTTTAATCAAGGGATACACCATTCCCTCACAATTACAGAGAATAAAGCACAGATTAACTGATTTGCAGAGTGAGATCACTGTTGTGTCAGTGAGGACTTGTAGGTGCAGTGTGTGTGTCACCACAACCGTGATTTATGTGAGTGCAAAAGCATGAACTCACCACCTCCCACTTCCCAGAGTATGAGCAGGGAACATGAGAACTGCTGTCTGGACATGTGGAAATGGTGGAAGATGCTTTTCCTCAAGTCTTCTCTATCTGCAGCCACACCATCACAACAAAGGGTTTCAAAACTCCAAGGAACAATCTCAGATTTGCAACTGAATCACTGTATCTTTGAACCAAATACTTCATAAAATAGCAAAAACCCCCCATATTTTTAATTGAAACACAAGAGAAGAACTGACAGTTGTAGAGATTTTGAAAGTATAAAAGCTTGTACCAGGTGATTCACCAACTGCTGATTCTCCCACTCCACTAAGTAGTATTCCCTTCTCTCTCAGGATTCCTTCCCATTTCATGCAGCACCACACAAAAACACAAGACACCTACATTTCCTACATCATAACTGTTACGGATTTATGCTCAAAGGCCCAAGAACATCTGCATTATTTTAAGTAACTAAGGTCTATTTTCTCCCTCTCTACATCTCCCTTGGAGAACTTACTCCAGAGCAGCACGATTTGGTTGCACTTTGGACTAATTCTTACACACCTTATGAAATCCTTGAATACTCAGGACTGCTTAATTCTATTTTAATCCCATGTTTTTACTCAATATCATTATTTCTCCACAAACTACCTTTGCACTTTAGTATTTTTCAATATTGAGAATAAGACACCTTAGCCTATAAGTCCCCTCTGCTGAAAATGCTACGGATTTTGTACTCTCATCTCATAAATGGCATATTTTTAGGCAGGGCAAGCTCTCTGCCTCTGGTATTTTCTTGTTGAACCACTCCCACACTTCCCACAAACAGAAACTTGAACTTACAACTATTTCTAAGCATGTTTTTCTAAGGACTTATCTTAAGACAGAGATGCTTTAAGAGGATATTTTCACCCAACCAGCTTGTGCCCAGTAATCCTTGGTTTAAGCATGTTTGTTTATCAAGTATTTAAGTTAAAGGACACTTTTTAAATAAAGGAGAAAATAAATGTAACTTGTAGCAAGAAATCCTACTTTAATTACTTCAGATAAATCTTTGACAAATAGGGCAAGATTCCCATCAAACCCCATCAAACATTTTTGTGAGAATATATGAGAGACCACAGCCTTTGGAGCAAACTAAATTTCAACTCAACTAGTTTTCCTCACAGACTACTAAAAGTATTTTAAACTATATGCATTTAAATGGTTATATGTGTCTCACTAATTTTTTTGTTGCTAACTTAAGATACTTAAGCAGGAATCAACTTCCAGCCCAGAGTATGACTCCAAACACTATCCACAGCCATTGTGCTCCAAAGTTATATAGGTTTGTTGTCATCATATAACAGAGCTATAATGTAACTTCACTGCAGCTGGGAACATGAATAAAATAAAATTTTAAGATGACATGTGATCCAAAATTCCTTTGGGACATGTTGCCTGAAAACATCCTCTACCCAGTGCCCTTAACTGACTCGTAACTATGGGATAGGAAAACAAACCAACCTTTATTTTTGTTGCAACCATAAAAATAAATAAAAACCCAACCCAACCAACAAAACAAAACCCCAAAATAACAGAACAAAACAAAAAAAACCCCTAACAACAAAAGATATCTATTTCAACCAAGGTAAAGAAAGCAGTATGATCCAGAACACAGATCATACATATCAAAGAGCTCTTAAAGAGAGAATTCTGTTTCTTAATTGCCTCCAAGTCCTCTTCTCTGGAAGAGTATGCAGGATGTTAAAATGAAGGTAAGAAGGCATGAAAATTGTATCAAAGATCAAATATAAAGAGAGCCTTTTGTGCCAGGCATTTTAATGAAGGCGACAAATAACCAAGAAATAGTGAAGAAAATTATGGAAATTAAAATTAACACGAGGCTTTGGTAAATTGGGGGTGGTGGGGAAGAAATAAAACAATCCAGCAAAGCCAAAAAAGAAGCCATTACATCTAATTACAACCAGCAACACGAGTTCCATCCAATTGTATCTTTTAACTTGATGCAGCCCAAATCTCATTTTTGGATGTAGGCTCCACTTTTACTAGGTGTATTTAAAACGTGGAAGAATAGTCTATGTCGTTGCTTTGCAATTAAGCAAATGGACCTTTTAACTTGTCTTTTTTTTTCCTTTAAATATAGAGAAGAGAACATAAAAATTTTCATTATCTTTGAATTTAGGACATACTTTATCACCGTGACAGATTAATAATGGTGGTCCAGCTCTCAGGATCTATTATTCCACCAGTGTGCTGATGTAATTGTCTTCATAAAGACTTTCCCAGTCACTTACGTCATGGGTTTGACTGCAGAGATTCACATAATCCTGATGAGCAAAACAGTCAAGTTATCAGAAGGCAAAGACTCTTGCAATCCCCTTAAAATATATTGATAAGAATGTAAAAATTGCATTTCTAAACCTGACAATTATATATCTAACTATACATAGCTATATATAAAGATGCCTACTAGAAGAACAAATACAAACTTAATCAACAGTGGATTTGCTTGATAAAAACACTGAGAGGAGCAGGGAAAAAAGCGTTTCTGGGAGAGACAAAATACCAGAGCAACCAAACTGAAATGTCTCAGTGCATTCCTAATTTTTCTCCCCAGATAAATTTATGAAAGCATATCAATAATCCCTGAACTGGGCAAAACTGGACCTGATTCATCCTCCTTTATCTCTGCCCCCTCCTCAAATCCATCCTGCAGCCACATCAGTTCAAATAAGTAATTGCAGCCATATTATTAGAGCAACTCCGTTGCTACAGATTATCTTTTTTTAACCACCAGCCTGCGATTCCAGCTCCAAACACGGTTTCAGCACCAGTAATAGTTCAGATAACAGATGTCACAGCAGCATTTATGACTGAGGAATGGCTAGAAACACAGGCAAACCTCACTAATGCTTTTCAGATTTATAGGTATGAGAGCATTTAGAGCTATTTCTAAATACAGTCAATAATTTAAAGCTATAGTTTAACAAGTAAATGCTTCCCCATCCACTGATTTGCTTTGGCTTTCCTGCAGTCAGTCTCTTGGCTGCTTTAACCCAAATTTTCCAACCTCTGATGAAGAGAAAGTCTGATGAGGATGTGCCAGTCTGTGCTACTTTATCACTGTAAAAATATCATCTTTTTAAATATTTTTTTGAATATAGGGGACACACTAACTCACTGGATTGCTTCCAGTCCACATATTCTGTTTACTTAAGTCTAAAAGAATAGGCATATTCTCCTGTTATTGACAAAAACTTCAAGCAAATGGATCTTTCATCTCAATCAAAACCTGACGTGCCCCTATCCACATACGCAAGCACACAGGACAAAAACAAGGACTTATAAAGCAAAGCTTGTTGTGGAACACACAAGAAGCCAAGCCAACAATTTCCAAGGTTATCTTTGTCAGGCAGACATCCTTATTTATTTGAAACCAGCATGTGTTTCAGTTGCCAGTATAATCAACCACATTTATTGCCAGGTACATTCAGTGGCAGGTTTTGAAGGCCAACCTGACAGAATATAAGATATGAAACTAAGGTTCAATTGCTTGCATTCCATTATTTTGTGAGAATAATGTTTAAACAAGAAAAAAAACATCTTAAGTATTTTTTGCTTGCTGCTTTGCAAGTTTGATAGTTGAGAATGTTTGGAGATTTGCAATTTTGTTCATTCTCTCCATCCCCCCCTAATTATTTGAAGACAAATGCACCTAAAAAATTAAAAAGCAGATGTCAATCATTAATGCATATACCTACTGAAGATAAAGCCCAGCATATGCTCCAGTGTTTAACTTACTTTCAAATCATAGGAGACTAATCATATGAAAAATGGGTAACTGCCATTTGTGGTCTGAAGGAATAACTGGATGACTTCATGCATGTTTCAGAGCTTTTCAGAAATTACTTGCATTTTCTTGGATACAAGAAAGTCTTGCCACAACACATCAAAAACATTAATGGTGCCCTTAGAACTTGCTTTTAATCCCAGGTTTGCCAAGCCAGGCTAAATTAACAGGCGTCAGCAGCATTGGGCTACACTGAAACACATTTTCAGGTCACTTTCCCTGCAGCAGCTCTGAAACATTCCTAAAGGATGTTATCTTGAAGGAATAGCCTGACTTGTGCTGTGGGGAGATACATAGGAAGTTCAGCAATGAAGAGGCATTACTGTAATGAAACAAATACATATGGCATTTTCTCCACCCCAAAATAATACTCCTCAATAAATAACCTGCAAGCTTTTCTGATCACAAGTTTCAGTACATTACTGTAACTTTTTGGATTCTCTTGATGTGAATCAAACACTAAATTCAAATACTAAAGGATTATAAGGAAAAGAAAAAGCAGTATGAGAAATCCACACTAGGGTAGAATATCAACATTCTTTCTCATGATTGACCCCTGAAGCAGTTCAAGTTTTGTTTTTCAGTTAATTCTCCTGCAGAAAGCCACATTAAATCTGTGAAGATGTGTCCACACTGTTTAACTCCATGACTTATATTATTCAAAAATCTATTTAGGGACTTTAAATATGAAGTATCATTTCAAACTGTTCAAATACAACAAAATCATTTGCATATTGACAGGTTACCTGATTGATCCTTTGCAGTTATTACAAATGCATCCTTCTGGGTACTATAAAGAAGTACTACATTTGCTTAGTAATAAAAAGCAAATATAAATCTTTAGAATCAGGGTTTAAGAATAATTGCACCTTTAAGTCTTTCCTGAAACATCTAAAAACAAGCAAAAGATACTTCTGTCCTGTTTAACTGCTTGAGCAGCCCTTTGGAAGACATGCATTTGATTTAACCAGAAGACCCCAAGTAAAAAAATCCCATAATCTTCTAGTCCTGAACATTTTACTTCTTACTGAAATTTTCCATTCCTGATCATAGTCCAAGCAAATAACTCATGTAGAGTTTGAGAAAAACACTTTCTTCCCTATAATTAAAACCAGTTGAACTCAGATGTTTTCTAAAACATGCACAGTGGAAACTTTCTCTTAATTATATCTTCAGTAAAGCTATATATTTAAGAATATAAAATATATATTTAAGAATATATTGTGAATTACATCTTCACAACATCTAGGGTATAAAACAAAACTAAATCCACTTTCTATTAAATAAGAAACAGCACTGAGTTGTATCCCACTATGGTGCACAACGCACATTTGCATAAATTTTATGAAGACTGCAAATGATAATGTAAGAATATAAGACAGTAATTGAAAATAGGCTTAGAAAATCTTCATGCTGCAACATTAGTGATGGGGATTCACCTCCAGAAAAACTCAAACATAAAAAAAATAATCTATTTTCATGCTAAATCACTAGTTTTTAAATTACAAGAGTTGTGTTTCTTACAGAGAATCCAAAAATGGAACAGCAGATTCACTTCTATTTCCAAAAAGATTTAAAGGTTGATTAATTTTAATCAGATAAAGAACTAGGATAAAATAAGAATTTGAGTTACTCCTCTCTTCCTCCCCAAAATAAAAGTGCTCTCCACACATTATGTTCTTCACTGGTCCAAGTTCTGCATTCTACCCACAAAAATGGGATTGGGTTCCAAATCACTGTATGTGGAAGGAACACTGTAGTGAAGAAGCTGAGAAAAGACTGTAACCAGACCCATGTGAAGGTGGTTATGATAAACTCCTCAAGAGTCTGGAATAAATGGTGGAGTGCACTGATACCACCTATCTCCTATATTTGTTCAGAATACCCACCACTTTTACTTTTGTGCAGAGAGAAGTGGCTCTAACCTCCCAAACTACTTTTTATGTTATACGTACAACTGCTAACATTGATTGTTGTTACGTTTTGATTACAGTGAAACAAAACCAACAAAAAAAGATATTGGATTAACTTCCTGTGTTGCAAGAGGGGGGAAAAAAAGCCCGGGAAAAAAAACCCTGAACACAAAAGCCATGAGAGACCGACTGCAAGAGCTTAAACTGAGGGCTAAGGAACTACAGATAGCTGGAGAAAACAACAGTGCAGCTGTCCAAGAAGAGGAGCAGGACTTTGAACAGCAGGCCATTATTTATGAAAAAGAGCCCATAACTGAAAGGCACTTGCATGAAATCCAGAAGCTTCAGAATGAAATTAATAACTTGGTGGAAGAAGTTAATAAATTCAGCCAACAACAAAAAAGCCTGGTGTCTTCAATGAGGCGATTCAGTGTTCTGAAAAAGGAATCTAACATAGCAAGGGAAATAAAAATTCAAGCAGAGCACATAAGAAAATGTTTGGATGAACTGTCGAAGACAGTGAAAAAAGTTGAAAATGAGCATGGGCCATCACGTGCCACAGTGAGAATCCTGACTTTTCAACATGCCTTCTTATCCCACCGTTACCTCAATGCCATGCTGTCCTACAATGAAGCCATAACTGCCAAGCAGGAGAAATGCAGGAGGTTTATTGTCCGTCAGCTCGAAGTAGCTGGTAAGGAGGTGTCTGAAGAAGAAGTCAATGACATGCTCCAACAAGGAAAATGGGAGATTTTCAATGAAAATCTCCTCACTGAAGCCAAAATAACTAAAGTTCAGCTTTCGGAGATCGAGCAGAGACACAAAGAACTCGTCAGTCTAGAGAACCAGATCAAAGACATAAAGGAACTTTTTATCCAGATATCAGTGCTGGTGGAGGAGCAGGGGGAGATGATCAACAACATAGAGATCAGTATGAACAACACTCAAGAATATACTCAAGTATCTAAAGAAAAATTTGGGCTTGCAGTCAGGTATAGAAAAAGAAACCCCTGCAGAGCAATATGCTGCTGGTGTTGTCCATGCTGCAAATGATAAAAGAAATGAACTCCTGGAAATACCAATGGTTCCTACACAGCAAACTGATCTTGAAAAGCAGTCTTAGGATCTCATTTTCCCTTCAACAGCGCTCTCAGGAAAAACTCTGTCTATTTATCCAAAGAGAGTTAGAAGAATGCAAAGAACGTTATGGTTTTCACATAAACACATGAATAAGGGGAAAGGATCAAAGGACAAAAGTGCCACTTTTTTGTTCTTCTGACTCAAACTAAAATAATGTGGCAACAAACTGTGCTTTTGGGAAGCATTGAAAGCATTGTTATCTCAAAGACAGATTTCATAATAATGGTCTAGTGCTTTTTACAAAATAATAATTGGTATTTTTAATTGCCTTGTGTTTTTTAGCACTTTTATTTACTTGATTCAAATTCTAAGGGTTTTTTTTCCCCAGAAATCTGAAATTCTACAAAATCAATCTACACATAAAGCAGACTCCATTATTAACAATCCAGAATGTGATGCCTAAACCAAACAAGAAGTCAGAAGAGAGTTATCTGGAGTGTTTCACTACAACTTCTACAGGAAAAGTTACTCACAGACATTGGGTTATTTATTTAATAACACTCTGTTGTATTTCTTACAGATAGGGGTTGAGTTGCTGTTTTCTGAACAAATTAAAGAATACCAGCAGCAGCAGAGCACATCACCAAACCTACAAGGATATTTGTCAGCAGCTTGCTGAGAAGCCAAGCATTAACAAACCGACACAGATATTTATATTATTCAGCTACACAGGCAGACCCTCTACTAGATAAGGATAGGGGAATATGATACTTAATCACACAGTGTTAGGGCATTTTCTTACTGCTGCCTGTTCTATCTAAACGTTCAGTTGCATCTGCAGTCTCACTTTTGCTAGTTCAAAAATTAAAGGAAAAATATAAAAAAACAATAGAACTCCATACTTATTTAAAAAAAAATAACCTAGAACCAGAGGATGATTTAGGGTTGGAAGGAATTCCTGGTGGACCTCCAGATCATCCTCCTGCTCCAACGTTTGCTCAAATCAAGACAGAAATTTTCCTGGTTGCAGCTCTTGTCTACCACTTCTGATCCTACCACATGCCCCTGAAAAGAACCCTGTTACCTTCACACCTTATTGCTTAGGCAGCAGGAAGATCTCTCCCTTAGTTTCTTTACTTCTAGTCTGAACAAAAGCAGCTCTCTGACTCTCCTGATATGTCACATGCTCCAGTACCCAACTGGACTCACTACATAATAATCACATTTATCTTCATGGTAGTCCTGTGGTGGGAAGTCCAGAATGGTGCAGGACATGCATTTATTTGTACTCTACAGGAGTTGCCAGAACTTCTAATGGAGGGTTTCCACAACTCTAGATGGTTCCATGAAATTCTGCTGATTGTAGAAGCTTGGGATCTTCAGATAGGAATGAAAATCAGATGCCTAAAGCAGCAAATAAGAATAGCTCCCCTGAGTACCTAAACCAGTAAGCAGAAAAGGAATGCTTTTGCTTTCCATATTCCCAATGGCTGGCTTCTACCCCATTCCCAACTGCTTTTGGAACTTAACAAGAAACAGCTCTCTAATAAAATTTAACAGAAAATAACACTGCAACAAAGGCGAAAAAAGTTATTTCCAAAAAGAAATTAAAAAAACCAAATCCACACTAAAACTGAACTCCAAAGCAGAAATGTATTTCTGAACTCTTTGTGCTGTGCAAAGGCACAATCAATACTACTATATCTGTATACAGTCAGAGAAGGCAGAACAAACTGCATTACAGTTCTACAAGGCACTAAGTGAGTTACATGTCTTCAGTTTCATCTAGTGGGACAAAAAAAAAAAATCAATCCACTATCAAAGGGCACTACTGAATTATTGTTACATTGTGATATTTATAAATAGTTGGATTCCTTCCATCCCACATTAAATGCAACTGAAATTAACTGTTATCAAAATACAATCAAAGGTCTGAACCTTAAAGAGAAAAATATTATAACATTTATAAGAAATAAAGTTAATGACACCACAGATATTATTTCATTAAACAACCTCCCGTAAACTGCTGCATATATGGAAACTACCTTTATGTTTCAAGAGCAGAGTAGAAACCAGACAATAAACAATAGAGAGAAAAAAGTTGCTATGGCCAACCTATATATATATATATATATATATATGTATGTATGTATTTATGTATATAAACTTACATAATACACACAGAAATATGCACCTAACATGCACCCCATCTTCCTTCCCTGTTTTTACTTTTAGAAAAAACAAAGGTACATAACTTTCCTTCTCTCCTGGGCCCTTAAACAGAAAGGCATTGTGGTACTTCTTGAGGGATTATTGCAGCCAGGATTGACAGGAGAGAAAAATCAAAATACAGCAAACACCACTGGTTTACACAGCATCTCCCATGCAGAGGTGTTCACATCCTTATCTGAGAGGGAAATGTGTTCCTGGGCCAGCCACCTTCTTCATACAACAGAGGTGTTTCTCTGAAGCAAACATGATCTTGTTAAACAAGAGCCGTGCTTTAAATTGTGGAGTAAAACTTGAGTTTCACGAATACATAGGAAAACAATACAAAAGTGAACAATTCAAGTAGTTCTCAGATGTATATTTGGTTAGAAACAGGCAAAACAGAAACATATAAAACACACTGAAGAAGAACTGGGAGGTGAGAAGACCAGGACTTGTGGAAAGCTTTTTCTTAATACAGGGTGGTAATAACTGAAAATAAATAGCATTAACTAAAACTTACATTGAAATCATGGGAATTTGATATTGAGTATTCAAAATTATGAACAGCAGAAATTTTGCAGTGATCATTAAAGTAACTTTCCAGTGTTTTTGTTAGTTATATAATCATACAGAAGAGTAAACTAATTAAAGCAGAGCTCTGAGTGTTCTACTAAGAAAAATAAAATATTAATAGCTATAATCCCTTATCACCAAAATAACAGGCAGAAAGGAGTTTTCTACTAAAATAAAAATACCTGACCAGCAATTTCCCTGGTATAAAAACATCAGCCATAGCACACAGACTTGTATTTCCTCTTGCAACATAAAAAACTCCAGACAACCAAAACAAAATCCCCAGCAGACAATTAACCCCAAACAAAACTAATATTTGCCTAAATAATAGGAAGTCTGTGTGTTCCTTTCTGATAAAAGGAAGGACAAAAAAACCATTCTAAGTGAAGAAAATTTAAACCTGTATACCTGTATAAGGCTTGAGGATGCTGAAAGAATTTACCAATGAATCTAAGAACTGTATGAACTACTTTCTACAACTTAGTGCCCCCATAAATAACAGACCGAGTAACTCCTTAAGCACTTGAGTGTTGAACATGAGCAAAGCAAACATAAATTAGGTGATAACACTCAAGAGGAAGAAAACTGTTAACATTTTTAAAAAGTTTAACATCTCAAAGTAATTTGTACTAAGAGTCAACAACAGCCAATACCTTCTGCACTTTAAGAATCTATTAGAAGGCAATAACATCAACAAATTTAGTTTAGTCTAAGTAAACTCAGTTAATAAATACACTTTGCCTTCTGATTAGTCGCTGAAATGGATCATAAAGCAGGATCAAGTCCCAGGGAAATGAGTGGGGTCTCTGCAGGTACAGCCAGCCACCCACATAAACTCCAAATAAACTCCATTAGAGGATTAGGGCACAGAGATTTCTACAAAAAAACAAATCAAACAAACAAACAACAACACCCCCCCAACAACAAAAAAACCCCAAAAGAAACAACAAGAAAACAAACATGCAAAAAACCCCACAACCCCCCCATATCATAACCCCAAACCACCCTGAAGTTGTATTTAATTAGAAACAGTTGTCAACTATCACAGCTGCATTTTCAGAACATATTTGGGTTAAAGCCACTACATTAAGCGGCCTTTATTGCCTTCCCTTGCACTAGTAACATTCAGAGCAATGGAAGGTAAAGTCTAATCTATTTTCAACCTATACACCATTAGCTTGCTGAACTACACTCCACTTCATCAAAACAATTAGCCACTTGCATCCTGGTGGTTACCACAGCACCACTATTTCTTTAAAGTAAGACGCTTCTCCTCTTAATTTTACAGATTCCTTATGATAGCACAGAAATGTTGTGCAATTTAAGGCATTATGGAGGTCTTATGCCCACCAGACATTGTCCTGATAAACCATTTTAAAAACTTAATTTCGTAACTTCAAAAGGGTATTTGTTATCAAATACCCTTTTGATAACAAGGGTATTTGATAACAAGGGCCTGAATTGAATGAAATATGTTATTTCCAATATTTTACAAAGCCTAATAAGCAGAGAAAAAGCACATGCCAAACATTGTTAAAGGAAGCTTTCTTTAATAAGATTTTGCTGATCATGTATCAGCAGCACCACCATGTGTTAAGTGAACAAGACATTTATTGCTGAGAGATCACCAATATTGCTCAGTATAATCAAGCATTTACAATTTAAGTAATTGATGCAGGCCTAAGTAATGATATTTTTACATTGTGTTGTCATGCCAGATTTGTAAAGCCTGTCATTTCAAGTAATATTACAATTTTAAAGTATTAAAAAATCCCATCTTATTGTTTTTCCACTGCTAAAGAAAGAGAAGACAAATAAATATCCCTGAGAAGGATTAAATAAGATATAAAGTCAGAGGCAGTGAATGGATTCAGGATATCACTAGCTACTATGGAGGGAAAGAGGAAGGGAAAGAGGGAGAGAAAGACGAGGCTTTGTTCCCCAGCATGATATGAGAGTAACATAAATAAACATAAATATCATAAAACTAATTGTAATATTGCTTAGTGCTAAAGTTACAGCAGTATTAGTGTACTTTAACTTAGTAGTATTAGTTATTAGTATTACTATATTACTTTATGTTCATACTATACATAAATGATTCCTCAGAAGGTCTAAATTTCCCAAATTTCAGATTATTAGGAGAACATTTATTACATTACTTACACCAATATGGGTTTTCCTGATATCTTAGGGCTGTTTAAAACTTCTATCATGGCTTGCTTTGTTTCTTCCATTCTTTCAACATCACTGGAATCCACCACAAATATCACCCCGTAGGACTCAGCATAGTAGTTCCTCCAGATATTCCGAATTCGTTTTCCACCTCCCAAATCAAAGATTGTCACTTCAAAGCGTCCCTGTTTAAGATCAATTTTGGAAAACCCAACTGTTGGAGCCACATCTTCAGGAGACTCTGTCAGAGTTCAAAGAAGAAAGTTTATCTTTCAGTTTAAAGAGGATTTAATATCGTGATTTGTGTAGCAAAATTAATATTTTAAAAACATGGAGTGAAATCTCTCTCTGTTAAATGGCATCACATTGACAACAACATTTTTATTTTTACATTAAGATTTTCCCCTTTTCTCAGGTAATTCTTAATTAACACATTAGTCTTTTAGCCAGTTGCTTTACATTAATTTAGATAGGAGCATTAGGTCAGGGCGGTGGAGAAAAGAAAGGAGCCAAAAAAGCAGTTTTTAATAATTTATTTATATTAAAATATATTTATTTATGTAACAGATTTATTTTGCTATTTATAAATAATATAATTAATATATTTATATTGAATATTTAATATTTTAATATAGATAGTTCCATTGCAGCGGTCTTCGGTGTACTGCCATTTTTACTTCCCCCTCACCGCCATCTGAACAGTTATCCAGCATTTGCATGGTATTAATTCAAGTTTGAGAAGGAAAACAAACAAAACAGTTAATGCATTATGACCTGGGAACCTTTGTGCTCTGCTAAATTTATTCTTTATCCTCCACGGTTGCCAAAACAACTTCAGAAGTTCAGACCAAGGCCCCAGATGAAGTGAATGAAACCATGTTCCTTTGAGACGTAAACTACTTAACTCTCTTAATTCAAGAACAGGTTTCAGCCTTTGTTTGTTTATTGTTATTTTCTGTGTTTCTAGTTTGCCATGCAATATGCTAAAACTATTATAGTTTTATATTTAAAACTCTTGCTCACTGTCTGCCTTCCCTGAGGGCAAAGAAAGCTTGTACTTGCCTCACACCACTAAGCTCTCTCTGCAGGGCTGAGATAATTGGATATATTCAATTGTTTTATGTAGTTTGGTAGCCACAAGGCAGGAGAAACGGGTGTAAGATTCAGTTATTTTGGCAAATAAGACTTTAGTGGCCATGCTGATTTACCCAGAGTGCTAAAAACTGAGATATGACAGCTGGGTTTTAGCAGAAACCAACTGCAGCTGCAGTCTCCTCCTACAGACTGGGTGTCTAATGCACAGCCAAAAATACTGGTTCTAATCTCTGCAAGCCCTGCTAAGGGGAAAAAAACCCCATAATTGCATTATAAGGGAACTATTTAAACACTGCGAAACAGTCACAGAAATCAGAACTATCTTTTCCTTGAGTTTAGAAATACCCATATTTACCTCATCTTTTTTCCCCAGAAAAATAGGATTTTTAGAAATAACTGTCATATTGAGCTAATAAAGGGATTAAAGTGGATTTTGATATAGAATGGAAGGCTAAATAACTAAACATTCATGTTTTCAGGGCAAAGATTCAGGAATATGAGAGAATATCCTTAATTTTACTCCTGCTTTCTTACATAACACAAGTAAACAGAAAGTTGAGGTGGAGTCTCCAAGTCTGCCAAAACACTACTAAATACATTCTTGTTATTGCACAGGATGAAAGTTATTTAGAAAGACAATTCCAGAAGTAGGGGGAAAAAATCCTACAGAGAATTTTCGTTTTATCTCAAATTACATCCTGCTTGCACTGTGTCATCGGATGGTTCAAAGCACCCTTCAAAATTAAGTTATCTCTTACTGCTAATTTTTAGGCACTAATTTCAGTGCTTTTCTGATGATAAATGATGACAAAAAATATGTATTATTAGAACCATCCTTAACGTTATTATACACACAATGCAATTTCCCTCTTTTTAACCTTTTTGTCATTATATATAATTACAACACTGATTTTTATATAAAGTTTGCACGTTACTGGATGGTCACCTGAGAGCAACCTGAGCACAGGCACACAAGTAAAAAAGAAAAATATGAAGTCCATTGATTTCTCTAATGTACACCAACATGTGAAGCAGATCTTTAACCAGAATATTTTGTATCATGGCATTAATTCAAAGTTATTATTACATAGAATGTGGTCTACAACCTTCAGAGTTTTTGTCCTACACTTTCGCTTAAATCAACTGACGGAGACTAGCAGCTTGTTTGTAGTTACAATGTTCCTTCAGCTATTTATTGAACTGCTGAAAAGACCTTATTCTTGTCAAAAATATCCTATGATGCTCATGAAATTTAAAAAGAACTCAGAACATATTTTGTTGCAATTTAGCATTTTTTGTTGCAATTTAGCATTTTGCACACTTAACAATACAGTGATCAGCTCAAGGCATATAATCATCAAGATACTCTGAACATTTGGTTTTTTGGGCTTTTCAGATTTAAATGATTGAAAATTAGGAATTATTCTCTCTCAGTACTCCATTTAGACAATAAAGAACTTCCTTACCTCCTTGAATTCCTCGGACTGTAGCAGTTTTACCAGCATTATCAAGACCGACCATTATTAGTGTCACCTTCCTCCATAAGGATACAAATAAAAGAGAAAGATATTTAAAATCTTTTTCTCCCTCCAGCTAGACATCACTTATTTTATTATATTTTTTTAACACATGCATAGCAAATTTACCACCATACCAAGGAGTAGCATTGTTACAATTGCGTATCTGGTGTTCAGTATGTCAAACCGCCTGAATAGACAGAACAGCAGAACAAGGTATGAAATGAGAAGTCTATTATTGTGGTTCTAAGTTTCATATGAGACAACGATTTTGCTTTCAATTTGTATTTGCCTGCCGAAATTTAATTTCATGGTACTGTAAATTTTATTTGGTGTGGTCATGGTCCCTTTAACAATTCCTGGTAAAATGGTAATTTCATTTCCATTTCCCTGTACTTTTACCATCTCTCTGCCTCAAAGCTGTTCCTGTATTAGGAATTTATTTCTGTCTCCGGGAGCGCATCTGAACAACACTACACAGTACACAAAACTTGTGTAGACAGCACCAGATGCTGTAAATATTTATCAGAAGAGGATTTTAAACAAAGCAATAGGAAAAGCATGACTGTGTACTCTTCAGTTCTTCCTCCTATTCACAAACACTCAGAGCAGTCAAATGAAATTTGTTCAATTTTATGCCCCTTTAAGTAATACTAAAAACATTGTTATTTCCAGACTTAAAACTGTAATAGTATCAAACATGAAGTATAATTTATGCAAGTTCTTTCAGAAGAGCCAAAAAGCTCTGAGAAAAGAATCTAAAAATGAAGAGTAGGATCATAATACATTATACTTTAACAGGAATCTAAAATTAGAACTTTTATAAACTCACAATTGTCTCTAACACATTGGTAGTGTCAGAAAGCTACTCAATCCAATATAGTTCTTTGAACAGCAGCACCTTCTGTAAAATCTAAACTATGTAGCACTGAAGAAAAGAGCAAACCCTCCTACATGAGTGTGAAGTATAAATAAGTTTATTTATTTCCCATAGTTTGCACATAGTTTGAAACAAACTATGTACTATCTATGCCTCTCTGCTACTTGGAGGAAAAAGCAAGATGTCAAAGTAATAGAAACAAAGAACAACAGCAGAATTCCATAAATGAGAATGGATCACCAAGCTACCCAGGAAATGCAGTATTAAGATACTTAGACAATAATAAGAAAATTAGTTTTACACTGGGGCTATTCTTGACAACAAAGTGTTTTAACACATTACACTTGAAAATTTCGAAATGCAAAAACTAAAACAATAAGATAAACCCCAAACAAACACAGTAGTCCTTGTGGCTTTCTACCATGGAGTGACTCCATCAGTGGACAAGCGAGGGACTACAGATGACATTTATCTGGACTTCCATAAAGTCTTTGACGTGGTCCCCCACAACATCCTTCTCCCTAAACTGGAGAGACGGATTCCAAGGTGGATAAGGAATTGGTTGGACAGACACATCCAGAGGGGAATGGTGGCAGCTCAGAGTCCCCATGGACATTAGTGACAAGTGGTGCCCCTCAGGGGTCCATATTCGGGCGAGTGTTATTTAATACCTTCATCAATGACAGAGATGAAGGGATCCCTGTTGGAGTGAGTCCAGAGGAGGGCCACCAAGTGGATTTGAGGGATGAAGCACCTCTATTACGAGGAAAGGCTGAGAGAATTGGGATTGTTCATCCTGCAGAAGAGTAGGCTTTGCGGTGACCTAATTGCAGCCTTCCAGTACCTGAAGGAGCCACAAGAAAGCTAAGAGGGACTTTTTACAAGAGCTTGAAGTGACAGGACAAGGAGGAACAGCTTCAAACTGAAAAAGAGTAGGTTTAGATTAGGTATTAGGAAAGAAGTCTACTGTGAGGGTGGTGAGGCCCTGGCACAGGTTGCTCAGAGAAGCTGCGGATGCCCCGTCCCTGGAAGTGTTCAAGGCCAAGTTGATGTGGATTTGAGCAACCTGGGATAGTGGGAAGTGTCCCTGCCCATGAGGGTGGAACAAGATGATCTTTAAGATCCCTTCCAATCGAAGCCATTCTATGATTCTGTAACAAACATTTTAGCACCACCCTATAATGCTCAACCTGAGGAAACAGGACATGAAAGACAGTATTTTGAATTTTATACTTTCCTGAAGTCAGAAGCAAAGCACCCAAACTGGAGATGATTAACATTTCATTTTTAAGATCAGAAGATGTATTAATTATCTCCTGGAGAAAAAAACTGATGGATTTTTGTAACTGAATTTAAAAATACGAAGCAAATGAAGTAAAGTATAGGCGGGATACAGGAAGATCAGCACAGAAATGTAGAATAGCTTCCCATGTTTACCTGACAGGTTCCTGCCACCGTTTTAACCAGTTGCAGCAATTGGCCATTAGACTGAACATCCCTCTTCACTATCCATCCAGAGCCATCCAGAAACAATGTGGACAGGCCAGAGCAACCCAAAAAGACTTTGTCTTGTCACTGCTGCTAGCAAGGAAAAGAAGGGAAAAAAAGGCATGGTTAGCCCCTATGTTTAACCAAGGCAAGGCATTTCCCTATCTGTTCATGTTCACTTAGCCCATGACAGTCCCATTATTTCTTTCTCTTTTCCATCCTCTCAAATTTCATGTGCCCCCATTTTACGTATCTGGGCAGCAACAACACAGTATTCACATAAAATAATAATGCAAGGCAACTGCACACAAGGAAACCTGCAAGTTAGAGGAGCAAGACGTATCAAGCTACAAAATTCCAGTGCTTGCCTTGCTGACCCATCCCACAGTTCTGCTGAGGGATGGAAAGTAAGGACCAATTTCAAGCATGAGTAAGGCTTATAAGAACATAACAGGATAAGGCATTAAAAGCAAACACAGAATGTCCCTACCTGCTAAGTGTATTCATTTAACTGTCAACTACTTTTACACAAAAAGATCCCACAACAAGGAAACTGGGTTCTCTATTGAGTATTTTGAGGAACTGGCAACTGTATCTAGTAATGGTCACTAAATTAAATAGAAGTATCAATTACTTCCATCATTTCACAATCCCACTTTCTACTCTTTAAGGAGAAAGAAACGGAGAATATTCCTCTTTTTCACACTGCTCTATGAAACAAACAATGGAGAATAACTGTGTGATATGTGCTTGGCTATTTTGTTGTGAAGAAAAGCACCAAGATCAGTGTTTACAAAGCCATAGTGTTGTCTACTCTCTTATATGGTTCCGAATCATGGGTCATCTACCGCCACCACCTGCGTCTCCTAGAACGCTTCCATCAGCGCTGCCTCCGTTCAATCTTAAACATCCACTGGTCAGATTATGTGACCAACACATCTGTTCTAGAACAAGCAGCAGTCACAAGTATTGAGGCCATGTTGCTGAGAACACAGCTGCGCTGGGCAGGGCACGTCTCCAGGATGAAGGACCAACCACCCCCTCCCTAAGATCTTGCTTTATGGTGAACTTGCCACTGGCTGCCGCAAGAGAGGAGCCCCGAAGAAAAGATACAAGGACTCCCTGAAACAACATCTCAGCCTTGGCCATATTGATCACCATAACTGGTCTACTCTGGCCTCAAATCGGGAGGCCTGGAGACACACCATCTATAACGCAGCTGTCTCCTTTGAGAAAGCACACAGGATCACTCTCGAGGAGAAAAGGCAACGCAGAAAGAACCGTGTATTGCAGAATACACCATCTAAGGAGTCTTTCAGCTGTGCCTTTTGCAATCGGATTTGTCTGTCACGTATTGGCCTCATAAGCCACCAGCGTGCCTGTAGTAAATATGGATAGAGCCTTCCCAAATCTTTGTTCGCGAAGCCTAGCCATGGATTTTGTTGTACACACATTTATATTTATTTATGTTTATATATATTTATTTATGAAACAGTAAAGCTTACACGAACCATGCAGTCAAGGGCACAGAGATACAAAAGCTTTAAAACTCCTTTAGTTATCCAAGTTACAATAATCCTATGGTAAACAACAGTAGTTGTCCAGGTAAAGGCCTTTTACTTTACTGTATATTAGAGTCCAGCACTTGTTAGGGGCTGGAAAAGGCTGTTTAGGTTGTTTCTCCCCTGGGAAAATGCAAAGCCATTTGTGGGATTATGTTTTCTCAAGTGCACTTGGTGGGTAACATGGAAGGGTGGGGAAATTCAGTGTGCATCTCAAAGAAATTTAAACTTGGGGGAAAATAACCCATGATTTGAGTTTTATGTTATAGGATGTGCAGTGTCACCTCAGCTCATCTCAGCTCCCATTTTGATCAGCAGATTAAGCTAAGAAAACAACTGGATTCACATTAGGGCAGCTGGGATGCAGACATATATTCTCTACTGCCAACCTGCCTCCATGAGAAGATGAACTGAGAGTTGTGACACTCTGAATTACCACAGCAAGCCTCCTAAAGCTTGAGTCTCAAAATCCCTCTCATATTTTAAATTATAACTAACCTCAAATCAAGGTAATTTCAAATGATGCAGAAAACTGAATAATTAGAGATTATAACAACTTTCCAAATCTGTCATCTTTCAAATCTAGACAAAAGTGAAAAAGAATTGAGGAACTATCCCTAATAGACCTATGTTGTCCTTAAAAAACTGTGGTGGTTTAGATAATTTTATACAGGTAGGAACTGAGAGCTCTTCCTGATCCCATGAAGCTGCTGTATTCAAGGATGTCTTTGTGTGGATTTGCTGTCATTTAATATCAGAAATAGGTCAGATTTCTTTCGAAGCAGAGACAGATACTCTTTAAACATTTATATTCCATTGTACAAGAGAACCTGAGCTTCTCCACAGGAGAGCTGAGTGCATGAAGAACACAGAAGTTTTTAGAAAGTAGAGCAAGATGAATGCAATTATCACAAGTAGTAAAATTGAGCTCTGAAGAATACAAAATCATAAAAAAAAATGCAGTGGGGTATGGTGCCTCAACCCACAAGCAAGTAACAACAGAGCTAACTTTGAGAACACAATTACACAAATTTTCAGCTGGTTCTACTGAAAAGCAAAATGTAACAGCTCAATGAACAAAGTGTGCCATTGTCACTTTGTCAAATGACAAAAATGTGGCATTTTCAGTGCCTGAGCATCCCCACAGAACAATTCCCACGCCATATTATGCAGACTGTCCAGCTTTGCAAACTGCTCTCAGCACACATATGGCCCAGAGCATTCAAACGGGATTCAGGAGACCAGGAAAACTTGTTAAAGACTGAAGAGCAGAGGATTACTATGTCATAGCACAGGAATCTCTGTTTAAATATGGAATCATAAAGGCAGGTGGGCAGGAAGTCACAAATAAGACAAAAATTTTCACAAACATGCCACTACAAAGGGCATTCAACACTGCTGAAAAAATGGTAGGAAGGTAAATCACATCGTGTTATGGGAGTTTGGAGAGACTCGATCCCTGAAATATGTATGGCACATGACAGGTATTTTATATGTTGCATTAATAACATCCAAAACCTGTTCCAGATACTACATCTGTCAGTTGAAACTTTTTGTGCCTGTTAAGGTCAAACAAAACCAAGGTCAGAAATACTTCACAGTTAAGCCAGTACACCATTTATGTAGCAGGTCAGCACAAGTGCCAAGAACTAAAAATGTCAAAGATCCCACTTTTAAGTACAAAAAAAGGTGTAGCATAAAGAAAAACAAGACAGATAAATGCACTAACACTCTAGATTAAGATCAAGATCAAGATCTAGCTTAAGATCAGGAGCCCTGATGTTGGTGAAACAAAGCAATGGGTAGCAGCAAGTCCAGTATCCAAAGTCATCTAATGAATATGTTTATCTACTTTCATATCAAAGTGCAAAACCAGCACCTTTTACACATTTTACTGTAAGAATCTTCATTAAATGTTGTGCCTTCAGTAGAGGCTTTTATAGTAGAGAATTTCTTTCAGTCACAGCAGGGTTTCACGTCCTTTGAAATGCAATCAAACAAACCATTTAAACCTGACCCTCCTCACAGAGCTTAATTATTTAATTTCCTACTGTAATGTTCCTCATCTGACGTGTTTGAATTTTATTTTATATATATATAGACTTACACAGAATTTTAGTTCTGTGTCGTTTTCAAACAGTGGTTTTCACATATCCATTAAGAAAATCTTTGCACCTCAATTAGCAAGGTCTTAGAAAAAGAAAAGTTCTGAAATATTCCTAGTAAGGTACATATTTCTCAGATTAAGGTGATGGTGGGTTATCATTTTACAGAAAACTGAAAACCTTTTCCTTCTAGTGGTACAAAATTCCACTTCTCAGTTCTGCCAGGTCAAAAGATACCGGTCCTTAAAGCTGTCACTGGTTCCAGACAGAATAATGATGGGCCTCTAGCCAGAGCACGATTTTGAGAACTTCCAAAAAGTTATTCCTCAAGCAAAATTTAAATTTTGCAAGCGGCCATTTCTGAGCATTTTAAGAACGATTTTAGAATCAAACCCCGAGAACCTCAACGTCTTGAAAAGACTTGAAGCATAGGAGTATCTGCAAGAAAACAGCTATGAGACCGCCAGCTTTCCTGGAAAAGAAATGTCACTACAAGAAAACAGCTTTGGGGCCTCCAGCTCTCCAGGAAAAGCAAAGTTACTACAAGATCCACTGCACTTCCCAGCCACGCTCCTCCCCTTCCAAAAAAGAAGCAACTCCAAAATCCAGACACCCATGCACGGTCCCTTCACTCGACTATCCCACCGCGGAACGTGTTTTTTTTGTCTTATATGGAAAAAAAACCCACTTTCTAAGGGGCGAACACCTCCCCCTCCCGGCTGCCGAACCCCCACATGGCTGTGCTCCCCCCACCCTGGGCTCTCACCGGTGGCTCCGGCGGAGGCGTCCACGGCGGCGGGACGTCGCGGTATCCCCCAGGCTGCGGGGGGGAGGAGCAGCCAGGGGCGGCAACCCCTCTCCGGCCCCGCCACGCACAAGGCGGCTCCGGCTCCGTGTGAGGCGCCCCCGGCCCGTCACCCCAGGATACGGCGGACGGCGGCCGCAGAAGGACACACTTAATGGCGGGCAAGAGGGTTACCCGAGGCCCGGCCAATAGGACCGGGCGGCTCTGCCCGATCAGCCAATCAGCTGCGAGCATGACCCAATCACCACCGCCCCGTCCGCCTCGCTCCCCCGGCCCGTGCGAAAGTAAACACGGCGACCCTATAATAACACGGGTCTATTAGAGCCGCTGTGCTTGTTTCGGTCCATTCTGCCGGGGTGCCTGCGCAGCGCCATGTGCCCGGCCCACTGTGTCCGGTCAGGCCGCTGCCCCGGCGCCCTGCTGACGCTCCCCGCAGGGCAGCGCTGCCCGGCCTCTCTTCCCCCCCCCCCCCCCCGGCCCCGCCGTCCCTCCCTCCCGCCCCCGGAGCCTCGCCCGGCCCCGCTGAGTAGCGCAGTCCCGGCCGCCCCCCAGCAGCGATGGGGTCGCGGTGGCTCCCGCTGCTGGCGGTGGCTATCGCGATGGCCCAGGCGGCGACCTGTGAGTGGGGAGAGGGAGAGGAGCGGGGTGGACGCGGGGGGGCGGGCCGGGGTCGCGGGGACGGGGCCGCCTGGAGAGTGTGTGGAGCTCATCGGTCCCAAGGGATTCGGAAGCTTTCTGGGACAACCGGGTTGTGACTCGGCGCCGTGAGCGGCTCTGGAGCTGTTTATGGCCAAGGGGAAAGTGTCCCTTCACGGGATTCCCTCCCAGGAACAACCCTTGGGGATAGATCGAGGTCTCCGGGAGACACCGCGTTATTGTGCGGTCCCTGACTTTTGGTAAGTTCAGACCTAGGTAAGGGCTGCTTGCTCTCACAGATTAAAAACCAGTAATAATAATAATAAAGTCTTTTCGAAACAGAAGTCTTTGAGCCTTTTAGTAGTAAAAGAAGACTGTATCTGGAACAAGCTCAAAGTAAGCCTCTTTCTGACCCATTTTACTAATGATTAAACCGGCAGAAGAGAAACCCAGTGTTTACCATTCAGGCTTTCTGTTTGAGTGCTGGGGTTTCTGACTCGAGAAGGGAACAGTATCGAAAGATGAAAGTTAATTTTTTAACTTTTTTTTTTTTAACGGGTTCTAAAAATAAATCTTCTAATGAGTGTTTCATAATGTTCTTTTCTCCTGTTTTCATCATATTTTCGGTTCCATGTATCTTCTCCATTGCATACCTTGTCACTTTTTCTTTTCTCAATAGCAGTGTCCTGCTAATGCAAAATTTCTGTGGTCCATATAGTCCAGCTTCCTATCCCTCTCTCTGAACAATGGCAGGGATTTCTGGAATGGCAGGGAGGCAGGAAGAGAAAACAGCTTAATGATGCAGCTTGTACCGTTCAATAATCATAAATGAAAGTTGCCTCTCTGCTGGTCTTAGTGCAGTTGTTTGGTCAAACACCCAATGAGGGACACATTTTGGAGAAGGAACAGATAAATATTAGCGGCTGACTTTTTTTTTGTTGGCTGCATAAAACTTATGTCACTGATAAGCATTTTGGGAGACTCTAGTCCCTGGAATTTTGGAGCTGTTTGCAATACAACAGCATCACATGTCCTTTTTATTCAGTTTTTGGGGGCTCCGAGTTTCTGGGAGAGAGCGGGACTGCTTTCCATGACTGGGGGATTAGGTAAGGAGCTCTAAGTTAGGTTTAAGTGGCCCACTTAAGGCAGGTTTGTGGTTGCATCTGCACAATAAAACAGCTGTAAGAAACTACTGAATCTCTTCCTCTCCCACAATGTTTCTTTTTTTAGTAGCATTACTTCTAAACAGGTGCTTGATAAGTCATCACTATACAGTGTCTGTACAACACCTATGGAAATTGTAGGGCATGATGCTTCAGTGATAACCGAGTGAAACACACCAAGTGCATTAAGGGTTAACTGTTGGTTTGGCAGGGTCAGAAGTGGGCTGGAGTTTCCTGTAATCAAACTGGCAGCAGTAGCAGTCAGGATTGTTTTTTAATAAAGGTCCTATCATAATCTTTGTAATTAAAACACGGATTACTAAATACATTAGAAATTCTGTGTATGGGAGTTGAAATATTTGCACTAAACCCCATGGAATTTGCTTTGAGTTACATGTTTTATTTAAACTCAATGCCATAGGAAATCACCTTAGGAGAAGGATAAACAGCTGTGATATAGGGGAAAAGACACCTGTTTCCATTACCCCACTGTGTACTGAAGACATGAGGTAGAAAGTGTTATATCTGTTTGCATGCACTTGAAGTTTTCTTGTGTTTTATTTACTGTAAAACTGTATGAAAATGAGAATGATGCAGCTAAAAGTCAAAACAAGATTGTTTAAAGTCAGCTGTGAATTAGGCCTCATCTACACCACAGAGCCTCTGCACGAAAGCTATGTCAGCATGTTTGTAGAAACCTTCAATGCAAATAAAATCAGCAGATGTGGTACACAATTTTACTTTTTTTGTTGTTACTCCTTTTGCCTCAGAATAGATAGTTCTTCTGCATCCTTCTTATTAACTTGCTTTTGTGTAGTGACAAAGCATTTACTCAAAGTAATTAAAATGACACTGCTAGCAACAGTTGATGGTAAATAAGTTATCAGAGTGTTTTCCTGGGAGTGCTTTCCAGTGCAGTTAGGGTTCAGAAAAGGTCTTAGGAGGCCTTTCTTGTCCTGTCATCTCTCTGCCAGTCTCCCAGGAGACAGCATGTTAGTGGTGGGCTTTTGGATTGAGAGAAAAGGTCTAAGACGTCCACAGTTGCAGAGTTTCCAGTTCGTTGCTCCTCCTCTCTGCTCAATGAAGAACAATCAGAAAATCCAAATCCACCTCTTGAAATATGTTGTTAACAGCCTTTCTTGAGACATGCTTCTGGTATACCTTAAGGATTGTGAAAGTGGAAGACAGTAGCAGAGAAAAGCAGGCTTGAAGCATTTCTTTTATGACAAGAATTTTGCAGAAAGTGGAGGCCCAGAAAATAAGATGAGATTGTTCTTTCTCCAAGCAGTTTCCTTGAGGATCAGTTTCACCTTGCAGGGTTCCTTCTTTTCTCCATGGATTAGCATGTCTATAAGAAAAAATGAATCGTCAAATACCAGACTGATACATTTATGAGCAGGGAAGGACACAAGCTGACCTCTCCTCCTTGCATTCCTAAGCAGCTTGTGGTTGCTCTTTGAGATAAAGGTGTGCTTTAAAACTTTGGAGGTGTGCTGCAGTACATCCACCTTATGCTAAAGAAATTTTATCTATTGCCTTTCTGGAAAGATTAATCTTACCAGAGTGAAAGCAAATAGATCAGTTTGGAGGTACAAGCTCACCCCACATGAAATACATTTGGGATGCTGTAACAGAAAGGTCTCTTCAGGTCATTATCCAGTGTTGCAGAGTGCTTCAGCTGTGTTCCTTGGAACTTGCTAGAGACCGTAAGGTGTTTAGGATGGTATGGTTTTATTAAATATGTCATCTAAAAGCCATTCTCGATTCAGGTTCTGGGCCTCAGTAGCTACTCTTTTAGTTTTCTCTTTCCTGTCAGTGCACAGAAATTGGGAGGCTGGTTCCCTGACACTTGGCTGCTCATGTGTCTCAAGAAGGTGCTCTGGGTTTGAGGTGTTATCTGCTCATGATGAGACTGAATTGACTGTGTCTGCTTGAATTGGTCTTGTCTGCAGACCTGTGATGAATAGGTATGAACACCAAATCTGATCTGTGCTGCAGGTGTCAGGACCCTCACACAGTTGTGCTCCTCTGAAAGGTTTTAAGTTGTGCAAAGGCTGGTAAAAGAAGGGCAGGTGTAGAAGTGTAGGTACTCTCTAGTTAACATGTGTCATCCATGCTCTTTAACCGTGTCAGCTGGACTTTTTCCAATTATGCTCATCCATTTTTTCCTTTATCACAAGGTGTGTCCAAAAGTTAAACACGAGGCAGTCTGATTTAGTTGCTGTTCCTGTAGTGTTGTCTCTAAAAAGAACACCGAAGCAAAAATATCTTTCATTTTTAGTATCATTTCTCAACTCACCTATTTGTTCACCATTTGTGTAAAAGTCAATAAAATGACAATAACAAGATATATGAAAATTAAGTAACAACACATAACATGATGGATCTGAAACAAAACAGCTAGGATTCTATTTTATCTTGGTAAACTGTGAATGTATTCATAGGTTATCTGAGATTTCTCACCTTTTACTTTGTAAAAGTTCTGTAAACTTCTGAAAAATAAAATTACATTTATGTTAATTACATCTAACAAGTAGCGTGACTTTATAAGACATATTTTTGGTCTCACATGACTTAAATAGTACCAGAATATTTACTCCTAGATCACTGAGACAGGTAATATAAGAGGCTTTGCAGCTTTTTTCCGCTTGCTGGTCACATATCTCATTTTGTATTACTCATAACTTAAAAAAAAAAAAAAAATCTTGTCCTGAATATGAGAGTTAAATTATGCTTTGGACATAGCATTGCACAAACATTTTGGTGACTCAGGATTTCTTTTTTTGGTCAGAAACAGCTCCCCCAGATACAGAAAACAGACTCCTAGGATCTGTTGACCACAGTTTTCAAAATGACAGTGAACTCAGCTCTTGACTAAGCATTTAATTCAGAATTTTGTGTTAGGTTCTCATATTTATTCAGTGTTTATAACTTTTTTCAGCTGTTAAAAAGATAGATAAATAATGACAGAGCTGCTTTGTTTCTCCAAAGTTTTATCCCAGCAATATGCCTCCCAGTTCCTGCTCAGGAAACGTCGAGCCAATTCTTTTATGGAAGAAAGTAAGAAAGGAAATCTAGAAAGAGAATGCATTGAAGAATTATGCAATAAGGAAGAAGCCAGGGAAGTCTTTGAAAATAATCCTGAAACTGTAAGTATTTTATGAATATCTGTGACATAGATAGTTCTTTGCAGAGGGAAAGCCAGAAGTACATAGAATTCACACTTCAAAGCTATAAGAATCTCAATGAAAGGGTTAGATTTAATTGCTGCAAGATTTTTTTCAAAGTGAGGAGGACTTGATTCCTCAGTTCAGTACCACTGCACATTGTTTGGTAGCAGGTATATTTTATTTACCTTTTTACTACAAAAGGTTTATTATGTTTTGCAAACTATGTCAGTTCCAAGTTCTGTCTTTGATAACATTGGATATATGTGGCTATACTAGTTGTTAAGTTTAAATAGTTTCAGTAGTCAATGGTCAATTGCTTTTAATAATTTTTGCTTTAGTAACACTTTTCATTTTATTTGGAATGAAGTTGCTGTGAGAAGTTAAATGTATTCCAGAGGGGTTGGTTTGTTTTAGGTTGAAAACAGAAAATAAAGGAGCCTAGCTCTGCATCCAATAACAGCATCAGACCAGATCCTCCCATTTAAAGAGAATTTTGAAAGTAATTTTGACACCCAGTTCATTTCCATTGCCTTCATTTTGCAAGTTCCCAATTCAGTGCAGTATCTTAATCTCTCCATTGAATCTTGTGTGTATTAAATAACCTACTTGTTTAGGCTAAACAATAATGATATAGAAAGCTTGGCCTATATTCTATGAGTCAAAGCAACTTTTTAATTTGTTTGTAGTCCTAATACCAATATATTTTAGAATGTATTCAGTGATATATTTTGCTCTAATTTTATCTACCTGAAATTTTTCTTTTCTTTCCGCAGGAGTATTTTTATCCCAAATATTTAGGTAAGTACAAAAAAACCCCCAAACAACTCTAGTATATAATTCCCTGATCCTCTCGTTTGGATAATACTGGTTTAGTTATTCTGCCCAGAGCACTCAAATGATTTCCATGCTGATTATAATGCACAGAATCTCCCTGAGTGCTTAGATCCTTAGTGCAGAAGCGCTCAGGAGGTTGCTCTGTGATCAGCCGTCCTTAACATGCCCAGACAAGTTTCCTAATTCAAGCTTTGGGAACAGACTCTTTGAAGATGAATGAGCTTGTTGTGATTTCGGTCTAAATGAGTGCTAGTATCACCAGCAGATCGTGTGGGTTTGCATTTGCAGGCTGCCTTGCCTCCCATCGAGCTGGGGTTTTCAGGGTTGCTGCAGTTACTCCTGATTCTCCAGCTGACCTGAGGGCCTGCGTCAAGGGTAAGTGCTGCTGTTAAATGCTTTACCTAATGCACTCACATCTAAGAACGCGTGCATGGCTACAAAGCAGTTCCCATAGGCAGAAAAACAGACAAATAACCATTTAACTCAATAATCTAAAGCAGAAATGGACAAAAAATGTTAGGTGAGACAGAGCATTTTCAGAGAAAGCAGTTTAAGTGACTGGTTTTAGCTTTATGAAGCACCCTGGAAAGGAAATATGACTAAGTGCAAAATGGGAAGGCAGAATTCTCCTGGAAACAGAAGTGTCCTACACGAACCCACCAACATTCCCCAGTTCCTCTGTACTCTACTATGTCTTTAACTCTTTGCATCTAGCAAGTCATGTTCTATTAGTTAAGGTAACTGGTTAATTCTTTGTTGTACTACTCTTTGGCCCATAGCTGCACTGTGACCATTCATGAAGTGGGTAACATCAGCTGAAAAATTCAAATCTTACATGGAACACAGTCATTGACTCCCCAAAAAAGGACAGAAAGCATGAAACTTGTGATGTTTCTCAAATATTTTATTTTTATGCCTTTATCCATTCGTAAATCCAGTGTGAATTGTGTTCTCGTTAGTAAATTCACAGGAAGCAATTTTTACCATATTCCCTACTCGCCACAGTTGAAACATCTCTCTAAACCTCTTAAACTTTTACAGCCTAGTTATATCAAAGAAACCTTCAGTTTGTTTGAGTGGGAATGGGGATACTTAACCTTCTGACACTGTTTTTGTCACTGAAAACAATGGTAGGCAAAAAAAAAATCCTCAATAATTACACTGCACATGGTCACGGATGAACATATTTTCCAGATCACTTGTCCAATGTGACTGCTGCTGTCACAAGCTAAAATATGCTCCCATTCATATCTTTCTCAGTCTCATTAGAGGTCCCAGGAGGAAAGGATTTAGCAGAGCTGTGTGAATATGTATTATGCAGTGAAAAAAACCTAGTTTACTTGATAATCATTGTATTTCTCCCTTTGGGTTCACATTATAAAATCAAATTAAATAAATTATTACTAGTCACTAGGATAAAGGAGAAGTGTGTATGCATAAAATTTTCAAATGTATATAAGGCTTAAATTTATGCACGTTTCTGGAGGGGAGCCACTGCTGAGACAGTGGAATTTAAAATTCCTATTAAAACTATGTAACGTTTTTTTAAAATGTGTTTTTATTGAGACAAAGGTTTTGCGATACCGATATCAACATTTTTTTTTTTTTTAGTTTTAGAAGTTTTGTCTTCCTGAACTTCTCAACCCAAATGGTTTTGATACTGTCAAATGAAAAATCCAATTTTACTAATGAGAAATAAATAAATAATTGTAATTAAGTGTATTATAATACAGTAAATACTTTTAATCTCAAGCTGAAAAAAAATCAAGGAATAAAAATAGCAATGTGAGCAGAATTGAAAAATAATTTGTCCAAATTATTTATTTGAGAACACAAAGGAACATACATTTTAAAGACACAGATTTCTAGATAAACAATTATAAAAATCAGTGAATAGATTGACTGCTTAATCCTCATCTAGGAAAGACAAGGAAAATTCTGCAGTTCTTTAGATCTTTTGAGTGAAGTAAGAAATGTTTAAGAAACCCAGTGAGGTGTTATGTACAGAATTGCAACAAGTTTTCTGTCTTCAGGAACATACTTGCCTTTTCATTCCACTTTTTTGAATATGAACATCACTGAATCCTTTCAACTTTTCATTCTGCGGTCTGGTTTTTAGAACACTATTTTATTTTTTTTTAAAGCATGTCTCAGAAGGACATTCCAGAGCTTTAAAGTAGAAACAATGCATTTATAATGTTTGGAGGCCTGCAGAAAAATAATCCAAAAAGACAACATCATAGTCAGCAGACACAAATACAACAATGCCTTATGTGGTATGCTGATGCAAAACTATAAAAATTATGGGAACTGCTGAGAGAAATGTATGTGTTTCAGTTGGAGAGAAAAAGGCAGTGAATTCTGTGTTCTCTGCCCCAGTCTACATATTTTGAACTTTGCTTTCTGAGATCTTGCTGGCATGTATAAAGAGTCTTCAGTTGCTCTTTATAATGCTGTGGTAGTTTGGTCTAGGCCTTCCTTGGTGACCAGTTTGTAACCAGGGAAGTGCCCAGATTTACCCGGTATTCCCTATGATTTTTACGTAAGCCAGGCTATAAGAAGAAAGGAGGAAAGGCCTTTGCTCTCTTTCCTTCCAGTGGCTTGGAGGTGCAGGTTCCCTGCTGTTGAGTCTGTTGTTGTTGGGGAGCGAGGCCTGGTAAGGCCTTGCCGACCTTGGGAGGCAGAGGTTGCCGGCGATCGTTCCAGAGCGACTTTCTGTTGTCCCAAGGAGAGTAGTGAGATATTTCTTTGCTAACTCTTTTAGTTGCTAGATCTCGGGCTAATGATTGGGATATATATATATATATATATATATATATATATATATATATATATATATATATTTTTTATTTTGGTTTTGTTCCTTTTCCCTTCCCCTTTCCCTTTCCCTTGTGAAATTGTATATATATTTCAATTGTATATAACTGTAACATAAGTGTAAATATATTTATATATATATTGCTTTAGCTGTCTCTCTCTCGTTTTGGTTTTCTTGGTTGTTTTTTCCCTCTTCTCTCTGAGGTTTTGGGGGGGACGGGACTTCTTGTGGTAAGGTTTGGAGACTTGACAGGGAGCCAGCTTCAAACCATATCAAATGCAGATTTGTTTGTCATTGAAGTTAATATTTGTAAAAGGTGACAGTATTAAATGCTGATGTATCCAGCCTACCCTTGACCTGGATGGCCAAGGCAACCTGAGGTGCCAGTTTCTCTGTAAAAGTGACCCTTCTTAAATAGAGAAACTCATCTAATTTTGAAGTCTTGGTATTCTTGAAACTTTCATCTGTCTACTGAAATTTGTGGCAATATGATGGGGCAGAGCACTGTTCTTTAAAAAGTGAAATACATCCATAAAATGTAATGAAAATAGTAACAAGTCTGAATTTGGTCATATTTTGCAGGCATTGGCATGGTTTGGCAAGTAATTTGTCTTCTGGGTGTTTTCTGTCTGACAAAGAAAGTATTGGTGGCTTGGTATGTTCTCAGTCACTTGTAAATTAGTAGCAATATGGTTGTGGGGCTACTTGATGTTCTGCGTCAAGCCCTTTACCATTTCATGACAGGTACCTGTAGGAAGAGAAGAAGAATAAACTGATTTCTGAGGAAAAATGACCCCAAATAACAAGTCTTTTCAATGTTTTCCATCCCACAGAAATTTCAAACCAGTGCAGCCCTCTGCCATGCCATAAAGATGGATATAAGGATTGCATAGATGGACAAGGCAAATACACATGTGTCTGTAAACCAGGGTGGAGAGGAGAGAACTGTGAAGAAGGTATAGTCTTTGATCTCATATGTTAGTTCTCAGCAGTACAATTACAGTTCTGCTGTTATTGAATAGTATCTCAGTTGGTTGTATTTTGTTTTCCTTCCAGATATAAACGAGTGTGAAGACTTTAATGGAGGTTGTAGCCAACGCTGTTCCAATTTACCTGGGAGCTACCGTTGCTTGTGTGAAGATGGATACTTCATGCACTCGAACAAACGGGATTGTGGAGGTACAAAGTGAGACTTAAGAACATTATTACGTGACAATACACTGCCTGCTGACTAGAGAGAGGAAAGAATTTAGTCCAGTAGTTCCATAAATGCTCCAAGTTCATAAAAGGTTGTATTGCCTCTGAAAGATGCAGCCATGCTTTAACTTGGTTACTCACTGCAAGCATTTCTGACAATCACATAGTGATCCAGATCAAGGAGAAAAAAAGAAAGAGGAAAAAGGCTGTAGATGAGATTCTTCTTCATTTCAGAGCTCCATAAAGCTTGGTTTTATCCCTTACCAGTTTCACATGCGCTTTAAGCATGCTAAAACAAGAATCTAAAGTGGTGTGACCAGCTAATATTGTTACCATGGAAATCCCGCCTGGGTTTTGGCTGAATCATAATTAGTGATGCTGCTCTTTCGGGAGTTTGAAGTTCATTGGAGAAGAAACTATTAATGATTCCAAAAATTCTCATAATGGAAAGAGAGATTTGGCTTTTATTCACCCAGAATAATTTTTTTCTGTGCCTGCCTGTGTCTGTTATTATTGGCCATGACCTACGTGCTTCGTTCCATTCCGGATAAAGACCATGTACTGACATAATTAGCAATTCTTACTGCATAGTTAGAAAAAAATACAACTTCATTCTATTTTAATGTCATGTTTTATTGCCAAACTATGACAACAGTTTTGGATAATGTCAAATAATTTAAGAGACTTAATTTGATGGCCATCTCCAGCTATCACTTTCTTTAGTCTATAAATTTTTGTGAATTAATAACTTCCAAAGTAATGCCACAACAACCAAAGATTGTGGTTTTGTCAAAAAGGGCAAGCAGATAAGTTGGTTAGAATCTCTGTAATTCTTGCAAAGATACTGGAAAATTTGGTTAAAAATAATCAAAGATAAAAATAGACGGCTATACCTTAGTACCTTGAGTACCAGTTCTGTCATTTGATAAACTGGATTTAAGTATTTCATTACATCCAAATACAGTTATACAACTAGGAATTTGGAATACACACAGTAACTGTAGAAAGGTAGTCCAAATTCAGGACAGCTTTGACTTAATAAGGTTCCAGGAATCCTGGCAAGCCAATGGCAGACTCTGTTCTCCCTGTGGTGCACCATTTCCACTACTACTAAACCACAGAGAAAACTGGAATGATCCCTGCACGTACAAGTGGGGATGAAGTACTACCAGGGATCTGATATTTTTCTGCCCAAAAGACATTTGGTAAGATTGATGCTATGTGCTGAGTCGAGTTGTCACATCTGCATTGTGAAAATGACAGTGAAAAACTGGAAACACCCCAGAAGACAGACGCTAAAATGGTTTGAGGGATAGAGAGACAGTGAGGGACATGAACACCTGTCAGCAGAGCCAATTAAAAGACAATTGTGACATGAATTGATTGTAGCATGTAAGAACCTCCAACAGGATTATCTCTTGTCTTTCTTTCTGGATGTCTTTTTCTAAGGTAGGATTTTATTCTGCAGTCTGGCTTAGTTTATAGGAAGTCTGCAGACTGTTTCTCTCCCTGCCTTCCTGGACAAGCGTCACTTTTCCTGTTACCCACAGAACACATGAAAGAGTGAGAAAGATAGGCAGGCAGAGACTTTTTTTTCCACTGAGGGCATGCAGAGGTGTGTTTTTCCTCTGGAAATCTTTATGGCTATAGCTGTAGTCTGCTAAGAAAGCATGGTAGACCAGTTTTCCAGCCTCACTCAGTTTGGATAGGGTTAGGAAAAAAAATTATATGGAAGAGAGTGACTTGGTTTTTAATAACTTGTTTGTATTTCTAGATATAAATGAGTGTGTGCTATATCCAAACATCTGTGGGACAGCGATTTGTAAAAACACCCAGGGAAAATATGAATGTGAATGTGCAGAAGGCTACACATATAATTCAACTTCCAAGAACTGTGAAGGTAGGGCTTTGCTCCCAACCCACTCCTTTTCTCTTTCATCTTCTCACCCTTCCCGTTTTCTTTTTTTAATCCATGGTTACACCAAACTCTAGCACGTCATCCAGTGGTGTATTTCTTAATCTTCATACTGTTTATTAAATGATGACTCAATTGTTTACTCTTTCAGAGGTTCAGTCAGGCTATATTACATGTAGTGTATGCAGTTGCAATGACTTATTCCCAAACATTGGATTCTCAGTTCATGGGATCTCTCCTTTCCCGCTGCAGGGAGGACTTTAAGTCCAAGCTCTAAAAAAAACTGTCTGACATGTTTCTTGCAGGTACCTTGGACCAATGTGTTGAGGACCCGACCATTACTAGAGTATTTTGTTCTTTGTTTTTAATCATCATTGCAGTTTTCATCATGGCTAGGCTTCGTGAACGAAGATTTGGGAAGGGCTCTACTCACGTTTGTTACAAGCGCGCTGGTGGCTAAAAAGGCCAATACAAGATAGACCTGTCCGGTTGCAAAAGGCACAGCAGAAAGGCTCCTTAGCTGGTATATTCTGCAAGGCATGATTCTTTCTGCGTTATCTTTTCTCCTCAAGAGTGATCCTGTGTGCTTTCTCAAAAGAAGCAGCAGCGTTAAAGATAGTGTGTCTCCAGACCTCCTGACTGGAGGCCAGAGTAGACCAGTTATGGTGATCAATATGGCCAAGGCTGAGATGTTGTTTCAGGGAGTCCTTGTATCTTCTCTTCGGGGTTCCTCTCTTGTGGAAGCCGGTGGCAAGTTCACCATAAAGCAAGATCTTAGGGAGGCGGTGGTTGGTCCTTCATCCTTGAGACGTGTCCTGCCCAACACAGCCGAGTTCTCAGCAACATGGCCTCAATACTTGTGACTGCTGCTTGTTCTAGAACAGACGTGTTAGTCACATAATCTGACCAGTGGATGTTTAGGATTGTACGGAAACAGCGCTGATGGAAGCGTTCTAGGAGACGCAGGTGGTGGCGGTAGATGACCCATGATTCAGATCCGTATAAGAGAGTAGACAGCACAATGGCTCTGTAAACACTGATCTTTGTACTTTTCTTCAAGTGTTTATTTCGCCAAACTCTTTTATGGAGTTTTCCAAAAGCACTGTACGCCTTTGCTAACCTGTTGTCTATCTCTCTGTCAATCTTACCATCCGAGGAGATGAGGCTACCTGGGTAATTAAACTGTTGGACTGATTTGAGCTCTGATTGGCCAATGGTGATATGGGGATGATGGAAGACTTCCTGAGGTGCCGGTTGATAGAGAACTTCTGTCTTCTTTAAGCTGACTTCCAGCCCAAAGAGCTCAGCAGCGTCTGCAAAGCAGGATGTTAAACGCTGCAGGGCTGCTTCTGTGTGGGCGACAAGGGTGACGTCATCAGCATAGAGCAGCTCCCAGACAAGATTGTTTAAGGTCTTGGTGTGGGCCTTCAGTTGCCTTAGGTTGAAAAGGCTTCCATCAGTACGGTATCAAATGTAGATACCGTCTTGATCATTGAGGTCTGCCGTGGAGCATCATGCTGAAAATTGCAGTTATAAGGATGGAATATTTGATATCAGTCAATAAATATCCCTAACTCAAGACAAGCTATAGTAAAAGCAATTAAAAATACTTATTTGGCAAGTTAGGGAGATTTATCAGGAGATAATCACCAGAAGTGCAAACTGTGCTTAATCAAGCTGTCTCTAGAAACTACAAAGATTGTTTTTATCAGTCTGTTTAGGTGCTTATTTAATCCTCATGGCCAGGAGCTCAGTCTTTATTCTTTGTATGTCCTTAGATCTCAGATATTGGAAAGACCATTTCACTGAGGTCCCTGAATTCCATTTTACGTAACATTCATCTAATCCTTCCTAGAAGTATCTGCTTATGTTAGAAAATAACAGTGTTACAGTGAACTGATCTCCATTCTAGGCTGGAAATGACAGCATGGCAGTTCTCTAAACGATTTTTTTATAAACTCTTCACATTTAAAATAAAACTGTTCTTAAATATCAAAAAAAAAAAAAAAGAGCTATGAAAAGAGCTGCACCAAAAGCATCTTTCCTGAAATGAAAATCTGTAATTAAAAATTTCCAGACAAAGTTCTGTAACAATTACAGAAAAGTTGAAAAATATTGATAGCCAAGTAGCAAGAAGCCATTCATACACAGACCATAATAAAATAACTTCTGAAGTGTTGAAAGTATTTGCATAATTGTTTTAGAGTGTATTTTATTTCTCTCTGTTTGTTAAAGGTTTTGTTTAGTACACATCAGAAATTAAATTTCAGTTGTAGGACAGCTATGAAAGCTCTTAGAGTTTTACAATGAAGAGGAGTTTTCTACGTTGCCAGTTTAAGAAAAATATATCAATGACTGGTTTTTGTATTTTAGATGCTACCTGTATGTTACTGCTTGAAAGGACACAGAAGTAGCTTCTTACTGGCCATGAATCTTTTGCTCCATGACTTTTCATGCAGGTTTCTTGTCAGCTCTTTGGCCAGTTACTATGGGATTAAAATGCTACTGACAATTTTATGTTCCTGTGTGCACCAAAGTGAGAAAAACTTCTTAGTCTGATTCTCTCTTCTCTCAGTATTTTCTTCAGATAATTCAATTTGATGCAACCCATGTAAGTATTGCTTTCCTAGTGGAACGTGGATTCCAGGAGGTTGCAAGATGAGGATGTTACAATGAGAAGTCTCACCTCCTAGAAGGAGATTATGCTGCTAAGCTTTTAGACCCTGTTGTAACCACATTAAATGAGTCACCAAATCCTTTCTGAGGACAGGATTGTTCAGACTGACAGGAATGCTAAGTGACATTAGCTTTTCATTGTCATATTGTGTGTAGGTGGCCAAATTCAATTATGGTTATTAGAAAAAGTGAATTTACATACATTTATGCACAACTATCTCTGTGATGACAGATTCTATTAGACTGGAACAGAAAAGGGTTTGTTGTCTTTTTTTCCTCACCCATTCCCGGGAGAATGTTGCTGCAGTTCTTCATGCCTGCTGGAGATGGGAGACATGAGTGGAAAATATCTGAACAGTTTTTTGTTTCATAGTAGCCATAAAATTTTAGATGCATAATTTGATTATCTTTTTCTCAGTTTTGCAAGTTCAAACACCCTGCCAAAAAAAATAGGTAATGGAAATTAGTAAGTACACTTATTGTGCTAGAGGGGTCTATCTTGCAGTCAGGAGAAGTGAACTCATCTCCTAAAGGATGAAGGTTTTCTCTTCCCACATGAGTTGTCTAATGCACACAAAACCCTGCCTCCCCATATCCATGCATCACCATATTTCCTCTCTCTTCCTCCAAGCAACAGGAAAAAAAAATTTAATATTTAAAAAAAATCCCAGCATAGTATAAAACAGGTTTAAATGCATGCATTGGTACAAAATTGTTTATTCCCACTAGGAGGGCCGTTTGTTTCAAAACAAATGTTGCAGTTACTTCAATCTGAGGCTCCAAATAAAAAATAGTGTGGCCAGCAGGAGCAGGGAAGTGATCCTTCCCCTGTACTCTGCGTTGGTGAGGCCACACCTTGAGTATTGTGTTTAGTTCTGGGCCCCTCAGTTCAGAAAGGATATTGAGGTGCTGGAGCGGGTCCAGAGAAGAGCAACAAGGCTGGTGAAGGGACTGGAGCATAAGTCCTATGGGGAGAGGCTGAGGGAGCTGGGGTTGTTTAGCCTGGAGAAGAGGAGGCTCAGAGGTGACCTCATCCCCGTCTATAACTACCTGAAGGGAAGTTCTAGCCAGGTGGGGGTTGGTCTCTTCTCTCAGGCACTCAGCAATAGGACAAGGGGGCACGGGCTTAAGCTCCGCCAGGGGAAATTTAAGTTGGATATCAGGAGAAAATTCTTTACAGAGAGAGTAATCGGGCATTGGAATGGGCTGCCCAGGGAGGTGGTGGATTCACCGTCCCTGGAGATTTTTAAACGCAGATTGGACGTGGCACTGAGTGCCATGATCTAGTAAATGGACTGGATTTGGACCAAGGGTTGGACTCGATGATCTCGGAGGTCTTTTTCAACCCAATCGATTCTATGAAATCACCCTCATTAGAGTCTCTAGTCAAGGAGAGATTTTGTTTGTTTTTATATTAGAACTGTAAAAGTTACATTGGCCTTTTACACAGCCTTTCATTTTAAAGTTATTTGTTGTGTACAACCTGCTAAATAGAAAATGAAGTTCCTTGAGTTGATGTAGCTTATTTGCAGTTCAAATCAGACTATTGTCTCCACAAGCAGATGCTCTTTGAAACTCAGCTATTTATGAGATGATTGTATTTTATTTTAAAAGGTATTTTGCCCTGAGATTATTTTGGTTTTATATCAATAAAGCAGGTCCTTTCTTCACATACTTACCATATATACTCTTAATATTAAATCTAAGCTCTCATGATGTCTTATAGGGAAAGGAAGAGATCTGCCCCAGAATGGCATTTCTGCCATATGTGGTGGTCATTTATGAGGTCTCTTCCACTACTTCAGCCACATTACAGCTCAGCTTCTTAGTGCCTCACAAGTCAGGCAGAACTGTCTCCAGTTCTCCACACCAGGGCTCTATCAGATCAGCAAGTCTTACGCACCCAGCAGGTAATTCTGGATTGTAAATTTTACATAGGAGATATCCATGAGCATTAGTTTAGCTTAGCAGCAGTCACCTATTGGATTCCTGTTATTCCAGAGAACCTATTTTGTCCATTATTCCACTAATTTATGTTAGTTTATCAGTCTATGCCATGTTTAAGTCTTCCTGTATGCTTTCATTTCTCCTAGATATTGATGAATGTGCTGAAAATATTTGTGCTCAACTCTGTGTAAACTCTCCAGGAAGTTACAGCTGCTATTGTGATGGCAAGAAAGGGTTCAAGCTCTCCAAGGACACGAAGAATTGTGAGGTAAGACTGTGCTATGCAAAATTCCATGTGGGAAATCACAAAATTGGGTATTTCTTGATGACAGCATAAATTAGATTAAGGCACATGGGAAGCTATTTGAGAACAGATAAAAAATTACTGGAGATTCTGATCTATGGTTTGGCTCACAAAGCAGGCCTGGTAGGGATTTGGAAGCCATTCAGTTCATAAATGCTCATTTACAGGAGTCCTGTCAAAATAAACTTGCCTTAGCCAGTCATCTTTATTCTCTGCTGCTTCCAAAATAAGCCTCAGCTTTCTCCTCTCAACCAAGTAATTTCTGTTCAGCCTGCTCCGAGACAGAATGTTCAATTTGTCCATATGTTCCCAAGTTTTCCTTAGACTTCACAGAAGTTTTCATTCACTGTTTCAGAATTACTCTATGCTTTGCCTGTTTGGATTGAAAAAAAACCCGCACTGGGTTGTTTTCCACAGTTCTCATCTGCCATAGCTTAAGAAAAAGCACTCAGTAATACTTGCCAATCGAAGAACATCCTGCAGCCAAAATTGGCTGTTCTTGCTCAGTTTGAAAATTTACACTTCTTAGTAGCAGAAACTTTGAAACTCCAGAGGATCAGAATTCAAGGATTCAAGTCCAAGGATTTTTTTGTGTTCTCTGTATACTTTGAAAGGTGCAGGCAGGCTGAGACTTATTATGTGAAGGGAAATCACATGACAAGTGCCAACAAAAAAACCACCTCTAACAGAGTCTAACAAAATTTGGATTAAACTTCAGGAAAAAGATCTGACACGAGTTCTGACATCTGTGTGTTAGATCTTGTTTGTACTTTCTGAAGTTTAGTATCTGAACAACACTTGGCAGTAATTATATTTCATTTTGCTCCTCCTTGAAATGGTAACATGTAATGAGGCTGGAAGATGCTCTTATTTTTAATACTGTAGTTCAAATGTGATTAATTCTCTATCTGGAAGTTAATTTCTTGCCTTTTAATTGGGGAAAAAGAAAAAGTTTAATCAGCTGAAAATAAATATAGTCTAAAGACTAGTGATACCGGCAGGCTTAAAATGAAGTAACCATAAAATTCAAGATGAGCACCTCTACATTTAATGGAACTGCTGCATCGGAAATACAGAAGTCAAAGTTTGGGAACTGCATCAATAACTTTTACAGGAGTACAGCATTTCTTGAGAAGAGAAAAGTTCTCACACCTATTCTTGATCATTCTGTTCTGTAGTACTACTATTCTGCCATCATATAGAAGACAGTCATGGGGCATTTTGAGGGATAAGGTTAGATCCAGATGACTTTTAGACTCCTACTATGAGACTTTTTTAGACTCCTCAGTGAGGCAGGTACTTTAAACCCCATTCTGGGACAGTCTTCCCACCTCTCTCCACACACACAGCCTGATTTCCTGAACCTGAAGGAATCAGTGGTTTACTTTTAAATGAAATCGTACATATTACTTAAGTACAAAATTACACTTTCAGAAGATAAGTCAATAGTGCCTTAGAATGGATACCTGACATTTCTTTACTGAATATTTTCCTAGTTTAAACTTGCACCACACAAAATAGATATTATTCCTGAATAGAAACATCTTCGTTTAAAACATCAAGTGGATGAATACCTGAAGGAATAAGCACAATTTCCCCCCTGCCATTGCAACTATGTTTACTCACATTGACTTTGGCAAGAGCATTAGGATTAATCCCAGTTTTACATACTGTTTGTAGTTGCCACAAATACTTAGAATTTTTTACACTTTCCCTGATAATGTAGTCTTAAGAGGTTCATAGTCCCACTATCAATCCTCAGAAATATTAATTCAGTGCTATTCAGTAGGAATTGTGGTGTTGCTTTTGTCAACATTCCTTTCCAGAGCTCAAATAGGACAAGTACATTTAAGGAACAGCCAAGACAGAAACATTTTCTTTTAATCTGTTACTTAATCCACTTGTAAATTGTTACTTTTTATTCCAGGTAAATGATTCTAGTAGTACTAGAGATCATTCAGCTATGAGTAACTGTAAATCAGTATTGATAAAGAAAATAAAATCACCTTTTAATTTTTTAATGCAATCTTCTCAAGACACAGCTCTGACCCATTCCCTTCTAACACCTGATCAGGTTTAGATTCTACAGAACTTCAATAATGGAGCTTGGCAGGACCCCCAGTATGTGGGTGTCAGACATCCCTGATGAAAGGAAAGCACCTTATGGAAGATTTGAATTCTTAATTAAAATACTAAATATTTAAATAGTAGTTTTGATCCACCAGAACTGTGTTCCAACCTGTGTTATCCTCCAGCAGTTTAAATAATGGACATTTCAAGCAAAAGCAAAACCACACCACTTCATTTGTACATAGGTATTCAAGTTTTAAAAAGCCCAAAAAAACAGAGGTAAGCCATTCTTTAAAAAAAGTACAGGCCAGCAGCCAACAGGAATTGCTTCATAAGCTATCACAATGCATTAACAGTTTTTTTTCTCTGCCATTTTCAGTCTATTACTGAGTGTATCCCACTGAACCTCGAAAAGAATTATGAACTGCTTTATCTGGCAGAGCAATTCATAGGAATTCCCGTCCTCTACTTAAAGTTTAAATTGCCAAATGTCACAAGGTAAGCATTTATTGTTTATAAAAGTGTGCATTGAAATTATGGACATCTGTGTTCATTAAGGGTTTAGAAAGAGTGCATTGCATGCATAAATTATATTGCCACCTCCACAGTGGTTAAGATACCTTTGTATGAAGAATGAATTAACTCGGGTTTCTATGTATGTCTGTGAATAACAAAGTTGAAGTCTTCAGGCAATTACAGTCCCCATTACCAGTGCTGCTGTAAGGGAGAGGGGTATGGGCTGGGAGAAGGAGTTCACAGAGATCGAGAACTGAATGGTGAAAAGGGAAGAGGATTGAGGGCCGTAAGTTTAATAGGCAGTGGGTCCTCTTGGTTTGTGGAGAAGAGAGCAAAAAGATTGTGGCTTTCTCATGACAGAAGCTTCCTCTGGAGGAAACAGCAGGGGCTGGGGAAGGAGGGAGGTGGTGATACAGATACAGGAAGGCATTTAAAATTATCAACAGAAAATTCAGAGATTATAGGAAAATAAATACTGTACAGCTCCTAGTTGTATATGGGAATGCCTTCAGTTTGGATGTTGCTGCTACTTCACATCTGCTCTGGGTAGAAGCTGTGACACGTTCTGCATATACTGCTGAGAAACAAAACCAAGCCAGTGCTTCCTTTTGCAGTGTGTTCCAAGGACAGCACCTTGTCTAGAGATTTTCTTTACAGCTGTCAGAGCAATTGTTAGTGCGGGTGACCCCTTTATTACTTGTGGACTTCTCTGCTGCAGCAGCTGAAATTGCAGCTTGACTTCCTGACAGAACAATTTGAAGGTAACAGCAGCAGCAGCTGTTGAGCTGGTGATCCCTAGAGCCTTACAGAAGGACATAAATACTGAGAACTTTTTCCTGTGCCGCTGTTCCAGGTTGGCCAGGCATTAATGCTGTCCTGGAAGACCTTTCTGAGGTGATAAATGTTTGAAGGTGTCCTACTAATGTCTGTGTAAATACACGACGGTTCTCGGTGCGGGTCTGGTGGGGCAGCGCCATCTGGTGGACAAGGAACAGCACTGCGAGTGAAAGCCACCCAAATTTATTACAGATGCTTTCAGCAAGTCCTGATTTCCAAATGCTTTGCTTTCCCCTTTCATCTTTAATCTGTTTTATTCATTCCCAAAGCTTCAGGAGATACAGTTTTTTACTATACTTCTACTCTCTTCTCTTGCACTGTACAGGTTCTATAATGCAAACTCTCATTTTGCTACATATACACGTTCTGCCAAGATCCAGATAACAAACCCTCAAAAATTAGAGAATAGCATATAAAAGGCAGCATAACCAAAGCAAATTGCCAGTTTACAATCGTTGTAGGACAACACTTGGCAACCCTTGTTGTGCTGAAGCACATCATTGCTCAAATATTTTGTCTGCATCACATCCTCACAAAACACAATGGGACTATTACATCCATCTTATTCAAGAGAGTGGGATATCCTTCACATGTAAAGCTCATAGTGGATTTGGGAACTGAACCAAGGTTCTTTCAAATCCCAGCTCAGCCTGTTAATCTGGAAACTTTTCACTGGATTTGGGTGATCAAGGCTCACATTACATTCTGCTTTTGACTAATTCTATGCAAATATCACAACTCCTCAGCTGCAGAGATACCAAAAGGTTAATATCTGTGAACTTTTTTTAACCCTGGTAATGGGTTATTGTAGGCTGTACAGTATTTCATGTTTCCTGTCTTCTTATTAAGATTCCTTCTTCACAACTCAGATTTACAGCAGAGTTTGATTTTCGGACATATGATGCAGAGGGAGTTATCCTGTATGCCGAATCCCTTGACAATTCAGCATGGATATTGCTGGCTCTTCGTGATGGGAAGATTGAAGTTCAGTTCAAGAATGAATTTGGAACAAAAGTCACCAGTGGAGGCAAAGCCATTAATGATGGACTGTGGCATATAGTAAGTTGGGTTTTCTTCTCCCCTTTCCTTCCTTTAACCCACTATGGAAATATTCTGTGTTTATAAGTAAAGTAGGGAGAAACTAAGCAATCAATAAAAGACTAAAAAACATGCACTCACACCCTAGATTTAAAAATCGACCAAGAAATGCACAAGAATGCCTTACATCAGGAAATAGTGTAGCCTATTTACAATCAAGGAAGGGACAATCACCACAAGCTGTCAGCATAGCAATTATTCTTTTTAAATATGAAAAAGGAAGTGTCAGAATATTGAAAAGTGTGATTGCATGGTCAAGTTCATAGTTATTAGATACTTTGTGTATAGAGCAAGTTTTACATTTGCTAGACCAAAATCCATTTTGTTCTTCAAGCCTTCCTCTCTGAGATGAAAGGCGTGGCTCACTTACTCTATCTATAAATAGCTACATTTTTTGTGTGTATATGTCTAATTATTTGTATCTTATCCTAGATATCAGTTGAAGAACTGGAGCACAGCATCAGTGTAAAAATAGCTAAAGAAGCTGTGATGAGTATTAACAGCCCAGGAACTCTTTTTAAACAGTCCCAGGGTTTTCTGGAAACTAAGGTGTACATTGCAGGATTACCTCGCAAAGTGGGCAATGCTCTTGTTAAGCAGGTAACTAAAATAACAAGACTAATGTTGATTGATACTGTTCCGTTTGTTCAGTTTTGTATTGTTTACTTAAGAGTCACAGAGGAAGCAAGTTTGGTATGGAACCCATTTAGGAAATGAAAATCTGGTTATTAAACCACTGTTTTGAAAATAAGAGCTTTGTGTTCTGTCTTCAGTAGGTTTCAGTTGTAAAAACACAGAGCTTTTGGTCTAATCTTTCAGGATTCTGTAACCTGTTTCCTAATAAAGCTTTAAGATTTCCTAAATCACCACCACTTCTGCTGAGAGGGCATTTTGGAGTGATTCATGTTTATGGTGCTGGCTTTTGGTAGGCTCTGAGTGGGTGCAGAATTTACTGTGCAGGCAGCACAACGAGCTTTCATTTTTACTGGGTTTTATAATAGCCCAGGCTGGTGAAGCCCTATGATTCTTTCAGTCTTCTAACCTCAACAACTCGTGCTGGGGATGGGTTCAATCAAGTTGCAACTGTCTGCCTTGCAGTCCAGGAGCCCTCAAACTAGTTGGCAATCTAAACAGAGGCAAAAGGGAACTGTACACCTTTTTATTTATTTAAAAAAAACCTCTTTCTGCTCAAAAGTGAGGCAGAAAGAAAAAGTATGAAACAATACAATGACATCCCCTTATCCAATAGAGAGCAATTCCAGAAATTTCTTTGTGTTTTGGTATAAGAAAAAGATGAAACTTCAAACAAGTAACAGTGCTAGTGATCATTGTCTTTCAGCTACAGAAAAGCTTCCAGCCTTTTGTTCAGGTCACAACATGAGCTTTAAAAGTTGAAGGAGTCTATTTTTGTACAGATCACTGGCATCAAAGTGGGAAATGGTAAATCAAAAATACCTTTGGAAGGCTCAGATACTAAAAGCATGCCTTTTGTTTTCTCCCAGCATCAGTGCTATAGCCTATGGCATTGATAAGACTATTACTAACTACACAGAAGTAAGTTGATATGTAAAATAATGCCTTATTTTTAACATTTTTAAAACAACTTGGAAGGCAAACACCTAATGCTGCAATTCTTCTACAGATTAACCCTCGGTTAGATGGTTGTATTCGTGCCTGGAACCTGATGAATCAGGGACATTCAGGTGTAAAAGAAGTTATTCAAGAAAAACAAAGCAAACACTGTTTAGTATCAGTGGGGAGAGGATCCTTCTACCCTGGCACTGGAATGGCAGCATTTCAGATAAACTATAGTGAGTATTTTTCTATCCTTATATTTGTTTTGCTGGGCTAGTAATGGAACTGATGAATTGTTAAAAGAAAGAAAATAAGAAAGGACACACAAACTAAGCTAAACACCACTGCATCCACCAATGATTCCCTTAGCTTCTGTTAGAAATTTGCTTGAATGAGCATTCTGATCCCAGTAGTGTCATTTATTCAATTTCTGGAGTGCTTTACATTCAGGAGCATATTCTTTATTTGCAAAGGATGGACACTGTTGAACAGCACATTCACTTTACAAAGATTTAATTCTGTCCCCTCTTCATCAGTGGGGAAAACAAAAAGTTGGAGAGCTAGAAAAGGATCACTGACAGATTTGTATATGCAGTTTTGCTCCTCAACAAACATCCTGTCTTGAGACTGTAAGTGCATCTCTTGCTCCTTCCTGAACCCAGAACTTCCTTACCTGACCTCCTGCCTTAACTTTAAAATTTGCAATCCAGAATCTCCTTGTGCACACTTGAAAGCCCAAATCTCTTGGGCATTGTCCCAAATCCTGTTGTCATTATACTCTTTCCCATCCCAAATGGTGTGCTACCCTTCAGCCCCAATAGTTTTCATCCCAGAACTTGCTGTTCTCTCACAGTTTTAAATTCCCTAGCACACTTAAAGATTTCTCCAGCATTTTATATTCTGTGCTTCCAACCAACTTATATCACTTTCCTATGCCACCCAAGTTGTAAATGTAAAAGGGTGTGAGAACTGCCAGTTTTTCTTGGCTGTAGTTTATGGGTAAATTGTTTTTTTGGATTTAATTTTGAACTGACCTCTAATGAACGTGGCACCTGTTCCGTTCCGTGTTAGAATGGAGAAGGTAGCAAAACAAAACAAAACCAAACCACCCCAAAAAAACCAAAACAAACACTCCAAAATTTCATAAGCACAGAAGATCCAGGATTAAAAGTTAGGTGGGTTTTGTTTTGTTCTTTTTTTTTTGCTTGGGTTTCTTTAGACTTACAGTTCTTTCTATAAGTTCCAAAGTTCACTTTTTTTTTTCTCGAGATTAATACTAATTTTTGCATAGCGGGCAGGAGATTAAATACTAATTTTTAACACTGTATTTATTTTTCATTACCAGATGGATTTATTAATTTCTGTTATTCTTTTTAAAACAGATAACCTTGACAGTGCTGAAGATTGGCTAATAAATGTGACTCTGAGTATTCGCTCATCCACAGACACTGGTGTTATGTTTGCCTTGGTTTCTAATGAAACAGTGCCTCTTGCATTGTCCATAGTGGACTCTAACTCCTCTGACTCACAGGTGATCTTACAATTATCATAGCAATTAATTGCATATAAGTCTCACATCTCGGTTTTGTCTCACTGAAATTACTGCCCCATTTGTGAAAAATCAAGCTACAAAAGCCACTCACATATACTTGCATGGTAGCCTTACTTAATATTTTAAAAAGGATTTATATCATATAACGATGTGCAGAAAATATATTTCTATCAGAAAATATATTTCTATTAATGACTGATTAATGTGTATTAATATATTTCTGTTAATGAAAATATAATTGTATTAATTATGTCCGCTACATTACATTATGTAATCTTATGTAAGATCCCTTACATCATGATTTCTTTAATCTTTCCTTCTTTAAAAAAAAAATGCACGAAGCAGAAAGGGGAATATAACAGTAGCGGAATGATGATGATATAGTAATGGCATCGTGTTAGTTTGAATTCATAAACAGATTTTGTTGTCCTTAAGTTTCCATTGACATCCATTTACATCATCTAGAGCTGTACCTTGAACATCCCAAGCTAGGTCACGATTATATTCCATGGCTAATCCATGCTTCTGCCCTAAATAAGACCCTATAGTGAACACTTGGTTACCTTTAAAACTGTAGTGGTACTACTTTTGCCTGTAAGTGAAACAGGATTTCACCTCAGAACCACGGCCAAAGATGTTTTACAGTGAACATTCTCACTTACAAATTTAAGAATGGCATTTATCACCAAAAGTGATCAAACACATCAACTTTGGTAACTTTTCCAGGTGAGGGTACCAGTTTTTAATAGGTGGGTCTAATATTTCCTGTTCTTCTACTGTCAAATATAAAGTGCACCAGAACAAAGTATAAGTATGTGTTAAAGTTATACGTGACATCTTTTGTGATCTACCTTTCTCTTTAGAAAGTCACTGTGACCGTTGGAAACATCACTGTTGCACACCTGGAATCAAAGAAGTTGTGTACCCCCAGAAAGGTGCAGGTTGGACTTTTAGTAACCAAACAGGAACTTGAACTGTCTGTGGATTCACACACAGACAGAAGCAATTCAGAGCACCTGTCTGTCCTGAATCAAGCCATGATGGCAAACGTTGTCACTTACTTGGGTGGGCTGCCAGGTAAATTCTGTTTGTTTTCATTAATTTGTTTATTTGTACAAGCCTGTTTATATTCAGCCTTACTCAAGCTAGGAAAAGCCTACAATTGTAAAAAAAAAGATGTGCTTTTTGTTTCATCCAGCTTTTAAGGGAACCTGCTTTTCAGCAGTACCATTTTATGGCCCCTTAAGACCTGGGTTTCTCTTTAGATGTTTTTAGTTTGGAAAATGTCTTCAGTTTCGAGTTGGGAAGAAATGGGCATTGCATACTTCTGAAACGCCACCAGCTGGCACAATTTAGAGACTGTATCACGCATGTGGGAAAACCAGGCATTCGTAAGTAATTTAACTCTCAGAAGTGCAGAAGTCAGAAATACGGTTTCAACAATTAAACTCTGGCAATAGATAACTGGAAATCTTTGTGTTGAAACAAAAAATATTTTGTTTAAAGGAAGCTACAAGTGTAGTGCCAGTCTTAAGACATGTACAAGGATTATTTGGTACAGGAATTGTACACATGCTTATCTATAAAGTAGTTTGACTTCGGGGTGAATCGAGAAGTAAAATAGCATTGCCTCAGGTGAGGAATTTTCAAAGCCTAAGATACTGAAACTTGAAAATTGCCAGAGGAAAGATGCCATGGTTACAATGTTACTACTGTTAGAGCCTTTCCATGTCTTCTATTATTTTATGGAGAATGAGTCACAATTCCTAAGAAAATTCCAAGGGTTTGACCAACATGTTTGGAATTGACATCCATTTTACATGTAGGCTGCAGTGTTACAGCACTGCCCCAGATACTCAGCATCTTTATTTTCACCATGTTTTTCTGCAGAAGACAAGGATGTACAGGAGTAAGAAGAGGGAAGGGAGTTATCCATTAGATATGATCTCTTTAGGCATTTCTTCCAAGGTAGTGTATTTTTTGTAGTTCCACCCTCAGACTTGCATGTCAAAATAGAAGGAATGTGTTCAGGGCAGCACTGCAGGTACCACAGCCTGTCTGAGATGGTGGTCCCCTCAAAATCCAGGCCCATGTGTTGTAATTTAATTGTTCTCTACAAGTCTTCACACACTAGTAATCAAGAATGTAACAAGGCACCAATTTTGCCTTGAATTTTGTTTTTGAGTGGATACGCAATATCTTGGAAACCAGATAACCAGGTGAGTTCAATTCAAATGTAATGTGTAGAATGAGAAGAATGCACTAATGGTGCAGTGCTGTCACATACCACAGGAGTGTTTTTGTAATACTGGCCTGCTTTTAAAGGAGAGATGAAGTCAGTATTCACTTAGTAGAGGTGAGTCAGGAGGTTAACTGAGCCATAGCAACTAAGATTCCAGTAATTTCTTAGACCTCTTCATTTTTGGGATATGTATATTATTCTTTCTAGTACATTGCCAGCCACAAAACAATTGGCGTCTTAAGAGTTAAGATCTTTGGTTTGGGCCGTCCCAAATAGATAAGAAGCAAGTATTAGTTACTTACTGCTCCTTAAAAGTAATCAGTTTTAAAAGGTATCTTCAACATGCAAATTAACAAAACAAACAAAAAAACCTCACCCTCTGTACCAATAAAAAGTTTCTACTTAAAGGTGTCAAAAAACCCCAACAAAACCCCACGTTATGTGAAGGAGGCTCTTCCACAACAACCTCTGTTACCAAAGAGGGAAAAAGTAGTATAGAAAAACTAGTTCAGGTCCCTCTGTACAGCCATTCTGGCATTTATTCATTCCGGTTCACCTCTGAAAAGCCTCTGGGATTACTGAGCAGTATAAAAAAGGTAGGTAGGGGTCCCCACGCTGAGCTACAGTGCACAGAACTGTGTGGTTAAATTGTGCATTTCATGAAGACCATAAGTCCCTCACTTTGATACACCTTTCTTCAAACTAGTAAGTGTTGGGAATATGCCTCTGTTAATTAATTCAGGGGAACCAGTGCAGGCTAAATGAGACTTACACAGTTCTATGTCAGCAGACATGTTATCATCACTGGTGTAAAAAAAAAACCCTAGGACTATTTGTTCAGTACCTCAGCTTACAGCAAAATAAAATCACAAGGAAGCAACATTTGTTCCTCAGATGATCAAGTCTGTCTCCTAAGGAGGAATAGGGTGATTAACATCTGAAAAAAAAGAGATGATGCTTTTGAGATCAGCTACTGGTCATCCTCATTCTAATTGATGAAGGTGTTTTGTAAGCTTTGTAACCTTGTAAGAATCCAGTTGTACCCTAAGACCTCAGAGTAATGCCTGCTTGATTTTGTCCTTAACATGCTGTTTCCTGGAAGCATATCCATAATCTGATGCTGCCAAACAACACCTAAATGAGTAGCAGACAAAGTGAGTCTTTTACAGAGAATTTGAATTTGCAGTAAGGAAGCAGTAAAATATGAGGTTCCCAGGGGTCCCCAGTTGAGAACTGGCAGTTTTGAATCTAGAGTAGCTTTCTGACAAGAGCAAGACAGTTCCTTCTGTGACCTCTAAGCCCATAAACATCTGTTTGTGCATCAGGACAAGAACAGCAGACTCCAGGAAACAAACCACTGGTTCACTGTTGTTAATACAGGAAAAGCTACTATGAAAAATATTCCTGTAGTTCGGTTTCTGGATGAGAATTCTAGTGGATATTTCAAATTTTACTGACCTTTCTCAGCTTTACTAACTTTATCTTGATCTTAAAGAAAAGGGGAAAGAACTAAAGTGTTTCCTGACAAATTGCTCTTGTCCGATGACTAAATTTAGTCTCATGTCTAAATAATGAATGGAGAGTGGAGTATTCCCCATGTTTTTCGTAATCTGAAAAATACATATGAATTTGCATGCCTTGGCCTAATAAATTGAATGTGCTTTTGTGCAGATGTTCCTCTGGGTGCTACACCAGTGACTGCTTTTTATAATGGCTGCATGGAGGTGAAGGTCAACAACAGGCAGCTGGATCTGGATGAAGCCATTTCCAAACACAACGACATCAGATCTCACTCGTGCCCACTGATTATGCAGTAACCATTCAGATCTTAATTTAACTTTTTTTTCCTTTCAGATATAATTCGTGTAATTAGTCTCATGTCATAATAAAGCCTGCATTGTTTTATGCAAATGTGCCAGGGAAACAGTGTGTTTTTCCTCCTTTTTATATAGAATGGAAGAAAAATCCCCTCTCTGTTCAGAGGTAAAGAGACAATCAAGATGAAAATTCTGTAAAATGTTCCTTTATTCATATCAGTGGTAAATCTTAAAGCTAGATTTATCTTCCATGTTCATACTATGTCCTTGGCATATTTAGCTTGGAGAGAAAGCTTAGGAATTTCCGTTTAGAAACAATTTTACTTTTCATTTTTCATGTATCATCACAAAGTTACAAGTTGAAAATCATTTCAATGTATTAGAATCTAAACAACACTTTTCCGAGCATAATGTGCAAAGAAAGATCTCTTCAGGTTTTGTAATATGAGCTTTTGGTAAAGGAAAAAAATATCCTGGAATCCATAGCCCAAGCTCTCTGTGAATGTTTACAAGTTGTATTTATACTGGTAAAGCAACTTCAAAATGGAAATCTTTAAGTAGCTCAATTTTTGAAAATATCTTTTGTTATACTGTGCCAGCTTTAATTCTTCTATCTTTAGAACCCAGCTTTAGATTTTTTTTTTAAAGAGTTTTGGATCAGGTTAGGTAATTTAATTTAAAGTGGGTTAAAATACACCTAGGCAGTTTTGGAAAGGAGAGGAAGTGGCTTGAAGGAAGGAGCTCTAGTCTTCATCACAGGACATCAAACTGAAATTTGCCAAGTGAAACTGAGAAATTGTGGCAAATATTTCTTCTATTCAGGACAGATCCAGCACTTCTCAACATAAGCACAGTCTGATGGTCCATCATATTCTCTTCATTTAGGTCAACCATGCATTCATGGAGCTCCGGCATAGATTTATTTGTGAGCTGTGTTTCTGACATCCTTAAAAGCCCAAGTTTTGCTGGTAACATCAGAAAGTAAAGCCATATTCTGCTCAGCCAACTTTAATATACCAGCAGGTAATTAGAAAAGTATTGCTTTCCTCAGGTGTGCCAACTTCAGGCACTCCTAATAATTTTTTAACATCCTTTGAGTGTTCTTTCCACTTCCAACCTCATTTTCACACAACCACAAGCCTCCCTGTGCAGCTCACCTAGTGGTTTTGTTAACCCCAAACCAAATAAATAGCAAGAGAATTGCTGTGAGCTATGGATGTGCACTCTCATCCATCAACCAGAGACATTTATCTGCCAGTATTCTTGACCTGAGGTTTGCTTTCGACACTTGAGACACTGAAGTGGAAATACATGTACAGAAGGATGGATTGTGACAATATTCATTGTGAGGGTTGCCTTTCTCCAGAGATATTCTGAGTGACATTAGTGAGGTTTCTTCCATTGTGGAATGCTAACCTTAATACATCAGTATTGCAGAATCTGTGCCCATCTTTCAACATTATTGCTCTGTCTGAAGTTATTGTTAAACTTCACTTCCCACTTGTGACATGTAAGACAGGATTTGCTCCAGCTTTCACACCAGTACAGCCTCTGAATCTGTCCAAGCATATGTAGCTGCTGACACCCCAGGGCTACTTGCCACTAAACTACTAGTTTTTTTCACTTTCTAGGATGGTAAAACAAGCTTTGATTTCTCCTGACTCCGTGGAGGGGAGATAACTTCAGGAGAATATCCTTCCCTGCTCTCTCACCATCCCAGCACACACTTTCTTCACGTGGGCCCAAGCCGAAAAATAACTTGGCTGAAGTAAGCAGGTTTTGCAAGCAAGGCAGAGCTGAATTGGGACTTTTGACATCAAATGTGGCCACTTCGTTTATGGTATCTCAGCAGCACCCATTAATTCTGGGAGGCTCTTCGGTCAGGCTCTGCCTTGCACAACAAACACAGGAAGTATGAGATGAGGGACGCAAAGTGTCAGCAATGTTTTAAATGCTTATGCTGGTGTGGGAACAGAAGAAAAGGCTGGGGGTTTTGGGGTTTTTTTGCTGTTGTTTGGTTGGTTTTTTAGGTTTTGTTTGTTTAAAAGTAATAAATTGTATAGAAATGAAAGAAAAAAATCACTTTCTCACACAGACTGTTTCTCTTTGTTTTCATGGAATAATATCTTAGGGTTTTGTAGTTACAATGCACTTCTTTTTTTAAATGTAAAAGTGCCTCCCTATTGTAAGAATTAAATAAAGCATCATTTGCAAGTTTCTATTCATTTTAAGTTGTATTTGCATATCTTTGTTCATTTTCACTGTGCAAAACTTGTTCTGGTGGTCAAGTGGCTCAGTCAGGAGACTGTGATCATCTTCAGCATCAAAAGAGGTGGCTCAAATTAATATGCTCTCCAAATAGACATCCATGCTCTCTAGATAAATTTTTAAGCTTTAATATTGCCTGAGGAAATTAAGCTTTCCTTAAAACTACATATGGAGAAAAAGATGAGGGAAAGTAACCAAATTCCTGTATTTTCTCCTTCATCAGATGTATTTAATTGTACTTTTAGGCATAATCATTTCAGCAAGGGCCACTCTGTGTTTATAAAGAACAGCTGGACCTGCTCTGCATTTTCAAGCTCCTGTGCATGTGTGTTACAAATCAGTATATCCTGATTTCCTTGAAAATGAAATTTAGTCATGAAACTGGTTCCCAGTTATAAGCTTCCTGCTTACATGCCTAAGTTCAGTTTACATGCTCTAATGCCTGCATGTTTTCTGGTAGATTAAGTGCGAATACCTTTGCTGTTGTTGCTCAAGATTAGCTCTAGAGCTGTCATCTTCAAAGAATGAGTGACCAAACTCATTCTCTGCCATTCTCATCCTGCTTGTTATTGATGTTAGCCTTTCAGTGTCATTGATCACATGTACACACTTTATGTCAGCAACCTTGTTATATCAAAATAACTGCCCTGATTTGGATGCAATCGCATGTTTCATCTGCCAAAAAATAACAGTTGCGTACCAAAAAAATTAGATATGAGGAAAGCCATAACAGCCAACACCCAGGAAGAAAGTGAGGCATCACTTTGTGATTAAAATAACTGAGATACTGGTTTTGTCCCATCTTTTCCTGACTAAAGTCCTGCAACAGCAGCTCAGAGCCAAGTGACCTTCATTCCTGTCATTTTAGATTATTACCCAATATACTGGTGCAAAAGTGCCAACAAGACAGAAATAGTGTTGTGCTAAGAGCAGCATCTACAAAAAATTCTACCCAAACTACCTATGAAATCTTCACAGGGTGTATCCTTCATGTTTTTGAAACACTTTATAGCCACAAAATAGCTGTACCCCTTATTGTTACACTGGGCACATCCTTTTGCTCTGGGGGTAGCTACATTTTGATAATATGTGAATAAGCAGCTAAATTATTCTGGTTTTGAGTAGGGACTGTGTTGCTTACAGACACTTGAATCAATGGAGCGGATGCAAATTCATGTAGCTTTTATGTCATTCAGGACTTAATTATGTGGTTTCAAAAAAATAAAGTCGAAGGCCTGTTTTTTTCTTTTTTTTTTTTTTTTGGTTTTTTTGGTGGTTTTTTTTTGTTTGGTTTTTTTTGTGTTTTTTTTTTGTGTTTTGTTTGGGTTTTTTTTGTGTTTTTTTTTTTTAAGGAATTTGTAGCATATCAGCAAATTAAGAATGTGGAAAAAAAACACAAGCAACAAGACCTGAGTTTAGCCCAGCTGGTTAAAAATTGGTGCTAATAATGCCAAGGTCATGGATTCAATTCCCTATATGGGCCATTCACTGAGGAGCTGGACTCAATGATCCTTGTGGGCCCCTTCCAACAGAGAATATTCTGTGATTCTCTAAGAAATTAGTATCACATAAGATAGGTTTGTTGAGCCAAAGATGTCCCCCTGCCACATCATTCAGTATGAGGACCATGGGAAATGCAGCAACATACAAAGCATAAAACATTTCGAAGTAGGATGGTGCTTTGTTTCTGTCTCTTGAGTTGGGAAGCACCAAAAAGTCAGAAAACCAATCCACCTGGGTTTACTGGCTTTCTATCCTGGCTAGGGACACGAACAAGGAACCAAAATCACCCATTAGAAACAACACTATCTTGAAACAACGTTCCCCCCCAAAATCAACAGACACAAAAAGAAAAAAAGAAAACTATTTGATCCAATAGATATTTTCACCTCCTTTCCTCTCTCTTCCACTCTATGCCCCTCCAAGCACATAAACACCTCTTTCAAAAGAAAAAATTAAAACCACAGTTCATTTGACATATTTACATCAACACAGGTTGCAAGAGTTTGCTCAAAAGTCAGGGCTGTGTCATGTCCTGTCCCCCTGCAGCTTTACAAACACCTATATTTGAACAGGCACATTTGCACATCAACTAGAGCTTAAACAAGGACTTGTGGCCCCTGAGTATCTTTAATCTCTGAGTCATTAGCAGAGTAACCAAAGACACCAAAAGTACAAGACTCTGGTTTGTGATGCCAGACCTGCTATAGATCCAATCTCTTGGTCACCTTTCCTGATAAGAAATATGAACCCTTGAAACTACTGAGAGCCTTGCTTGACTTTTGCAAGCAGTTCCAAAGTAGTGTTTTGTTTCTTAGTTCTCATTAAGAAGCTGTTTCTCATCCCACAGTTAAAGGGTAAATAAAACACAACACAGCAATACACTGCTCCACAGTTATAAAAAGCTTTTCTAGAAAATTAGCTTTTCTAAAAATGGAGCCAGAATCATTCTTCTCCAATCATCCTCTGCTGAAGGCCTGAGGGCTACAGAAATGGAGAGCAATATTTCTAGAACTTACTAGTGGTTTTATTTATTATATCATAACTAAAATATTAATTAAATTTAAGGACTTAATTAGCAGGACATAAGGAGACTACTGTAAGGCACATGCTAAGTTGCATGTGAATTGTTGCAAGTTTTGGGTGGCACAGAAGAAACCAAGTAAAAATGTCTTTGCTTGAAACATACCCCCCAAAAAAGTGGTCCATGTATAAAACAACTACCACTCATCAATATCTTACCTTTCCAGGAATGGTTTTTCCCTTCTTCAGATTCTGGTATGATTCCCATCAACCAGAACTCAGTTTATAAAAATAAAACCCAC